CACAACGCAAGCGTTGTTTTTCGCAAGTTTTTTGTGAGGCTGGTATGGTTCCGATCAAGCTGGACTCATCATCATCATCATGAATAGTTTTTAAGTGGCCACTGTTGACTAAAAATTTCTTCTCGCACGAAGAAGGTTTCATCATGAATCATCACGCTTGCTCGAGCTGGACTATTCGTGATGAAACATGGTTTTCTTAAAGTAAGTCGGAATACTGAAACGCTACTCAATTTTAAGTCGTGCTTAAGTATAGTTCTATCTCTACAAATTCTTTGTAAAATGACAGAGATGGATAGGAGACGATATTTGAGCACGACTTAAAATTAAGCAACGTTTCAGTATTTTTTGTTAAGGGGGGAAAATCATCGAATGTCTGCTCCCGCCTGGGTGAGGCAGAAGGGAGTGTCAGACTCTTACTGACTAAAAACCACCCCGTTCCTTCTCCTGCACGTCGAGCCGGAGCCCCGGTTACCCGTTAGGTTCTCCGTCCGGCATAAGTGAGGTAGTAAAGGTATACTGACTAGGATGCGCGCCATGGTGCGGCACCAGATGTTGCGCCTGGTGCGTGACGAGCGTGGCCATGGCGTCGGCGTGCGCCAGGCAGCGCGCCGCGTGCAGCGCGCCCGTCTCCGCCACCACCAGTCTGCCGCCGCCCGCGCTGACATATATACGACAATAATACATTGGATATTTGCCTACTACTCAAATTCAATACTTTTTTCGAACTGTCAAAAATGACAGTTTTCTATGAATATTGTACGAGATTGTGTATTGTGATGTCACGTTTTTTTAGCGTTAAACAGCGTACTTATTTTCTAAAAAAATGCTAAAAAGATGTTAAAATTAAGTTGGTCATAAAATCAATTAATGGAAGTGTGATTATTTTTTAATATTTTATTGTATTGAACAGTCAAAATAATTTATTTTTAATTAAGGCAAGTACCCAATTAATATACAAATTCAAGTAATTTGACAAAACACTCGTATATGAGATCCATGTCTGTCATTCACAGTTCCACACCAGTCCACTAAAAGGCACCCTTTTAGTAGGTATGTAGGTACCATCAAATGCAATCAAACTTTCAGAATTATCGATACGTGATGTCTAGAAAATCGAACATTGAACATTTAAAAAATCTAATTTTTGTTTGGTTGAATGTTCAAAGCGTCACATATTTATTGTATATTTTGTTCAATATTGTAAGAGTTCTGTGGAATAGTCAGTGAAATATAATAATGCTAACTGCTAGTACGCTTACACAGATTCCTGTGGAGTCCTCGAGTACAGTTCTGCAGCAGCGAGTAGTAGGGAGCGGCGCGCGCGCACCAGTAGACGCGCGTCGCCACCGCGAGACAACTCACGCGCTACTTCGTCGCTACGATCTAGGAGGAACCTGGAAATATTAAAAGGGTTTTAAATACAAAGAAAAACTTTAAGTTATAAAAATTGGAATACATTCAATATAATAAAATCCAGTCGGAATAAATTAACTAGTTTAGTTTTTAGTTTAGTATTTAGTAGGTAGCCAAAAGTGTGGCTGCATTTACGATGATTTGATTGGTGTGCGCTGCAAATAAAAATGTTTGGTTGGACTAACTACTTACCAACATATTGGACTCACTTATTTAAAGTATTATAATTATACAACAACAAAACAGACACTCACCTCGGATAATCCAAATTGATAGAATGCATCTTCATGATAGACAAACACAATGTGACATTAGGCGTGAACTCGTACCCAAACTCAGTTCTAACAGCATCGTTCCTGTTCGCGTTAGTGGAGAGACACCAGTCCATGCATGTCACTCCACTGCCCGCCGAGTCAGAGTTACTGCTTAACATCATATCATGTTCGGAATTAGCCTTCTTGTGCATCGTTTGGGTGTAACAGTCATCGCATACTCTGAATTTAACTCCACTCGGGTACGTTGGCACTTGCATCCTATGACGGGAGCAAGCGTGGCACACAAGTCTACCACATCTCCTGCAATGATGTCTCCGAATGATCATAGAAAACATCGACGTCCTGCAGAGCATACATCGGTCAGTCGAATAGTCCTCAGTCCACTGCTCCTTGCTTGGGACTTGCTCCGGCATTGTAAACGGCATATTCGCAGCCTCAATGTTAATAGAATCTATCGATTGCAACAAAGAGTCGTCTGAAGGCTTCGGTGGCGCTGGACACACATTCCTCGGATTCTTCATGTCTAAAGCCTTCTCCGCATAAAATCTCAACAACGCATCCACAGCATTCTTCGATATAACTAAACTCTCAATCGATTTTATATTGTAGTATAGATTGTCGCCACTCGGATCCTTTTTCAGGCTCGGTGAGATCTTGTTTATGATATTAGCGAGGACATCCAACTTGGCATTCATTAAGAACTGCTCGATCATCAGTAGAGGGCTCTCAATGAGATCCCAGAACAGATGTCGCCAATTCGGATCGATTTCAAGCATAATTTGTAGACCTATTTTGATGTTTTCAAAAGACTTCCAATCGAATGAATTTTCTGATATGAAGTCTACGCAAACTTGGAGTATTTCTACGTTTCGGACTTTGGACATTTCGTCTTGAATGAGGTCCATGGCCTGTGATGTTGGAAGCCTCAGCAGAAGTTGGTGTACAAGGTCTGGTGTCGCCTGGTTCGTATATTCGAACATTTGTCGAAGGAGATTCATCACGATCAAGTTCTTCATGTTCTCTGACACTTCGTGAGCGTCGGCCCATTCCAGACACAGTTTAAACTGAAAATAGGACAATAAATTAGTAATTTTCGGTCGAAAAAGAATTGGGAAAAAATAACAATAAGAACAAGCGTGTTACCTGTTGACTATCCATAAGAACTTCGATGACGCTCTCAGGATTTTCTGCAGATTTTTCGTAAATATTGTACCAATGACTAGCACCCATTATAGCAGCAATCTGTAATATCATAACAAAAGCATTAGAACATGTTAGTAAGGAAGGGTATAATTGAAATGAATCTAGGACGAACACTATACCTGGTCGTACAAAGGTATTTTGATAATCCAATCAGAACATCGTTCATGTAATCCGTCGTCTAGAAGGTCTTGGTTAAGCAAGAACCGCAGGTAATCCAAAACCTCAAGAGCCCCATCCGCGGGCCAGACGCTTAAGTTGTTCAAAATAAGGTCCACTTTCAACTCAGGGCACTTTAGATACTGGCAATACTTCCAGTTATTCGGAGTTTTCGGATTTGTTGCCAGTTTGAATAGAATCAAGTCCCTCAAATTGGATAAATTGGCACTACACATTAACTGACGCTCTGAAAACGAGTCTATTATGTTCAGACATTTTAAAATCTTGCCGGCTTCAAGTAGTTCTGGCATGAACAAGAACAGCTTGTCTAAGTCGACGGTAGTATGAAGAGATGCCAAGTATTTGTTGTTGCCATATAAATCTTTCGTGCAATTGAACCGTTCCAGCTCCATATAATTGTTCAAGCACTTCGTTCGTGCGTCCATACTCTGTTGCAAACTGTTTTCGTTTGGAGATGTATGGATCTTCTTGATAATGTGTGCTAGGACCCAATTGTGTAGCACTACGTAAGTAAGACACTGTGGATCTGGAGCTCGCGGCAAGGGGGCGAAGTTGGTAACGGGATCCAAGAACAAATTCTCTTCTGGATTCTTGAAATCGTACACAACGTGGAGTAGATTGTTAAAGTTGACCTCACTGGCTTCTTTTGGAGGCCCAGCCAATGTGATTGAAGGACAAAAGTTCAATATGAGCTTTGGTATAAGATTTACATTTAGCTTCTTGCAGATAGGCTCCAGGTTTGTGACTGGGATTTCTTTGTTGTTAATCATGTGACCGAAAATGTCATGCAGTTGCCGTTCAAGTACCGCGAAGTATGGCATGTCGGAGCCGCTGTCTACGGAACGATTGTCTTCCTGTTCTAATTGAGACACCGTTTTGCAGTACATGTAACACATCCGTAGATATGGGATGCGCGCCTTCTTACTTCCTTGTCGAGACACCTCACTTATGTTGCACAAATCCTTATCAGATGCTGCCACGACATTCATATAAATCTGATGATATTTCTGCAATAAATTGGGATCAATCTCCACGGTCTCATTCGGGGTGACTACGTCCATCAAGTCCTCACAAGATTGCCTAAGTTCTTTGGCCAATTGATTCAATTTGCAGAAATCTTTATGTTTGATTGGTATTCTACAGTCCGTTATCAACTCACAGATATTGTCGATGAAGTTGAAAGACTTCTCTGTGTTCCCAAAAATCTCGAAGGTAACGCTAGCAATGTCTTCTACGAAGCGTATGTAATTTGTTTTCTTAACGGCAGCTATGTCAGTGGAATTTCTTACTTCGGCTAGTTTTCTTTCTACAACGTTTATTAGTCCGTATGTGATCTCTCTATTGAGACCACTGCTTAGTAAAATGTCTACAGCGTTTATGAATGGAGCATTTTGATGGTTGTATAGTTGTAAGTGTGGGTGTCTGGCGCCTAGTTCTATAATGTCGAAGGAATTCGGAGCTCTGTTCGAGGCCAAAAATCCTTCTACAAGTCCCATAACTTCAGTCGAAACAACAGATAAAGCTGAAAGTTCTTTGGTAGCGTAACGAGTGTCGTCTCTATAGTAAATTATATTTTTAATCTTTGCTATTAAGTTCCGCAGTTGCTCCGTAAATGTTACTTCTGTAGCTATTTCGGAATCTGCTAAGTCGAACATCTGCAAAATAATAAAAAAAATCGCATTACAAAACGTTCTCGCAGACCTGTTATTTTTGTTCTTGATTGAGAACAACACTTGTGATAAACAATACACACAAAAATAAAAAAGGTCATAGAATATTCGAGATGATCAACCTCTTTACTTGAACATGTTAATGCCAATAAATAAAAAAAAGTTGCAATGTCAAACGGACGTTTAGACCGTCATGCGTCAAGAACTTGTTAATGTTTGTAAACGACAATTATTACAATAATAATAATAATATTATAAGAATATGTATTGGCTCATATCTTTATGGCTGTATAACGTAATAAGTATAAAAGCCTTTATACTTCAAGATACATATAACGTTTTACTTAAAGACGACAAGGACTACAAAGTGGATCTTATGATATCTGATGATGATTACGAAATGATAGATGAGAAACACTTGAAAGAATTTAAAATAGACAAAGAAAAATACAAGTTTAAGGAATTGGATGAGTATGATATTCATATTAATTGTATTTGCGGACAACCTAACGGGTTACCGGAGCTCCAGCTGGAAGCAGGAGTAGGAACGGGGTGGTTTTTAGTCAGTAATAGTCTGTGAGTCTCTTTCGACTCACCCGAGGTGGGATAAGGCATTGGATAATTTTGTCACTCAAAAAAAAAGCGCAAGTAATTAATAATAAATATAAGGGATGCCTCGTTGGCCGCGTGGTCGCAAGTGCGACTGCCGGGCAAGTATTACTGGGTATTTAAAAAAAATCCCAGTAGTAGTAGTAGCACAAAGTTTGGAATTGTGCCCGGTATATGGCAAAAGGCTCATCGCATAGTGAAAATTGTATGTTACGTTGTACAGTGGAATTAAGTGCCATTATGTGCACCTCTGTCTACACCTTCAGGGATAAAAGGCGTGATGTTATGTTCAGTCCTATAAAGGAGCTATCCACAAAAAGGTCTTAAGATGATTTTATTATGTAAGAGCTCCTACTGAGCTCTTTAAGAAAGTAAAATTTTTTCTGAAGCCTTTACGAGTAATATCTGATTTCGTAATAGGTTCAGTTATTGACCAAATGGGAAATCGAAATAAACTTAAGTTACATAACAAATGTAGATCGTTTTGAGATGAATATGATAAGACATTATGAGCTAGGCATTAATTGATAGACAAGTGTCGCAATAGACAAACTGGGTCAGATATTAATAGAAGCATTATGAAGATAGCGTAAGGCTTAAATGAGTATAGGGTCAAGAAACTACAAGCTTAACTTTAGTTTGGTACTATGTTTTGGAAAACAAACAAACTGGCATCTTCTCAAGAGCCTACGACAGTCCATTGCTGGACTATGCCCCCACCTCCCTTGACTATGCTACTTGTTTTTTTTTATATTTGATGGGCGGGCGTTTGACCACTATCTCGTCTGGTGGTAAGCGATGGAGCTACAATGGAGCACGTCCCATAAGCAAGGGTAAGGGTTGTTTGCTATTATTTCCACGCTAGGTAGTCAGGTTGAGGATCAAAATTAAAAAGGCTCATATGTATGAGGGAACACTGCTGAACGTTTTCAGGATAGCGAGAAGTGAAAATTTTGAAGTATTTAAAGTAAAGGCTAAGATGGTTAAACAGCCGTACGAACCTAGTCTGCAGATAATATCTGCAAAGGGAAATGAGGAGAAGAAGTTGACTATGTATCCAGAACCGGTAAGCAGGATCTTGTTATTTTATAATAATAATAATAACTATCGTAAGACATACTAAATTAACTAAAAACCGCGGGTAAGCGGGGAGCCCCTCTGTGGCTCGAAACTAGTAGAGATTTTCTCAGTATATGTGTGTAATTCGTGGTTTTTTAGTAAATTTAGGATTTTTTGTCTTTAAAGCAAATACATAATGCTTAGTTTTAAATAATGTTATTAGTACCTAGGTGAGATTGTTGACAAAAAGATGGTGTAATGTCTCCTTGTGCTTTACTGGACGTTAAAAAGACTTTTTAGTGATTACAATACAATAACAATAATGTATTCACATCAGTGTCTCGGTTTATTTAAATATCAGCAATGAATAATAATCATCGTATCGCGATTTAGTTAAACCCACATTGTACAGTTGTATTTTGTATGATCAGCTGTTACTATGGCATCAATGACCGCAAGCAGCAAATATGTGCAAAACCAGACACACTTAAACAAAAGAAAAAAAAACCAAACATTGATAAGTCATATCATTGTTTGAAATAGTTTTTTTGGGTAGGGCCTGCACATGAACAGAACACGCTACAAATGCCTAAAAAACATAAGATTTCTTAAATTCTTACATATTTATAAATGTGTGTTAATTCCAGAGGTCTATAACTAAAACGAATAAAAGACAAATTGAAACGGAGACTGAGGAAACTTACGATTACGATGAATTAGTGAATGAGTATAATGATGAAGCGAACGAGGAATCTCAGTCCAGCAATGCGTATCACATGAGTAAAGCAGGTAAATTCTACGCTCTCTAATTAATGAACATATGAAATGACTAATACGCGTGATCATTTAAGAATTTTGTTCAAAAGACGAGACAATAGTAATGCACATATTTATTGCTTTTGATGTAACGATAAATTGGAACACAAAATAATAATCTTGGTCCAAAATTATTAATGGGCCATTGTGCCTAGTGCATAACAGTGTTCTCAACGTGATATGAAAGGGGAAAGCCTAAAGATGAAAACATACGTAGAAAATCTTAGAAGATTTTTTATATATTTGATGGGCCGACGTTTGACCACTATCTCGCCTCGGAGCTCGTCGACCCATAAACAGCCTATTCGCTCGGGCCTTGGAAGATTTCCTTTTATACCCTTCAGGAAATACAGGCTCTGGCAAAGAATTCCACTCTTTAGCAGTACGCACAAGGGAGCTTGATGCGAAGCGCTTCGTGCGTGTGGGTGGGACATCTACCATGAATCGGTGATGCTTCGCCGATTGTCTTGTGGTACGATGATGGAAAGGACTAGGGGGTATCAAGTTGTGTAATTCTCCCGTCCACTCACCGAAATGTATCCGGTAGAAAACCGAAGGGCTTGCAACCTTACGCCTGTGTCCGAGGTTTTGAAGCCGAGCCTCCACAAGCACATCATCGTTGAGGAGCCTCTTGGGACGCCTCTCAATGTCAATCTTACTAAGAATTTCTTTATTCTTTTCCAGTGAACACAATATCGCAATACGGAATTTGGAATGAGCTTATGAAATTATTGTCGTTCAGAAGTGATGTGACAAATTGCTCTTATGTGGACGGGATAGGGTTGATTGCAATGAAGTGCTTGATAGAAGACTATATCAACCACCGGTATACGCTGAGAGATGTAATGGCCAGGCTTTGGAGGATCTTCTTCGTATGGTTCCTTGTGTACTTGGCTGTGGCTATACCTTTGTGGTGCACTAGAGGTAAATATCTATATATTAAAAAATGAAACCCGTTTCCCGCTGTCACGCCATAACTTGAGAACGGCTACACCGATTTGGCTGATTTATTTTTTTGTTGTGTTTGTTATTGTCAGGAGAAGGTTCTTATGACATGAAATTCCTGAAAATCTTACGGCGACGGGAGAAAACGGAATGGTGCGTACGAAGTCGCAGGCAGAAGCTAGTAACTTGTCAATTGACAAGTTAACATTGTATATTTTTATGTAGGTACATAAAAATATACAATGTAACATCCACTAATTACACATAGTATAAGTAATAGTACTTATATTATGAAGCGTCGAGTACTAAAATTGAAATTGTATGACAGGAGTCCGGACACGAGTCCGTAGAGATTAAATTACCAGAATACGTAAAAATAGCGAGTCTTTTATCATATACCAGCCAAAATAGCTTCACTTTAAATTTTTTGTTGACATTCAAAAGTGTCTTTCTGGTCTAATTGATTAATGATTTTGAATTTGAGTTTTTGATTTTGAAAATACCAGACTTTGTGTTAACATTGATTGAGACATTTTCGAAATCATTCTGTGGTATTAAAAATGTGAATTAGCATGTTTTCAAAGAACATTTAGGTACATTAATTTTTCACATTGCGATAAGCTCTTTTATACTCAACAGCTAAAAACAGGAAAATTATTGGTTGTTATATCAGTGTAATAGTGTAGTCAATAAGTATTTGTTATGCAGACCTATTAGAAACAGGGTGGTATTTAGTCAGAGTCTGACACTCCCTCCCGCCTCACCCAGGCGGGAGAAGACATTCGATGATTTTCCCCACTTTAAAAAAAAGAGGTCTATCAGAATATTACCCATTTAAGTTAGACTAAGTCACAAACAAGGACATCTTGCCATTTTTGGAAGCTATTTGTACAATCTGAAACCTAAGCTAAACTCCACCGTAGATAAATCTAGATATGATCTAGAAGTGGTTATAATAAATAAGAACGTATGTGTTTAAAGTTTTTACCCAGGGAAAATTAGACAGAATCAATTTTAGGTCTCTATAAATACTAACTCATGCATATATTGCGGCAAATGAGCAGACGGGTCATATTATTATGATGGAAAGCAATCAGTATACAAGGACGTTGAAAAAAGGTGAACATAATATCACCACTTAGAAATTATTGAAGCACCAATATGTCAGTAGGTTATTTATGTGTGCGTGTAATAATAGGTTAACACGTTAACGTAACAGACTTAAGAAAATGACAGATGTCCTTCGTGTCAATGTGTGTATGTTCTGCATGTAAATCTGTAGTAACCAGGTGCCACAGTCGATGTTTCAAGTGACTGTGTCCGCCTCATTATATTACTTATACCTTGACAACCAAATAGTATTTTACCTAGATTTTTATCTAAGGAGGTTTACACGTAATAAATTCCCAGTTAAGGGTCTGTTTATGTCTGTATAATAAGTAGAATAATGTAGGAACATTACATTGTAGCGAAAACAAGCGATAACCTGAGTGTTTACAATGCGCACGTATGTCGTTGTACCGCATAATTAATTAATTAAATGAACCAGCTTACAGTAATTGCGTAAACTAAAGATATAACTAATGTAACATTGTGTTAATGTTAGTAAATACGTTGTTTTTTCTTTCTTAGTTGGTTCTTGTTAGTTTGAGATCGAAAGTATGATTCAGATGTATGATGATGATAGTGTAAGATGTAACTTTAAGTCTTAAATTGTGGCTAAAGCTGGGGAAAGTTGTTACTTCTGCTTAAATCCGGAATAACAATTTATGCATCCTAGCGATTCATAAATCCAGGTTCGCGTTTAATCTCCTGTAGAAAAAATTAAAAAGGCAACAGGCGCTTTGTTTTTTAAATATGTGTAATGAAATGACGATTGAACATTCAAACGGTATGAGTGCAAAACCGTCCAGACTGTTTTATCTTTCGGCCTATTTCGCGAAAGGTACGAATGTACCTTTACCTTACCTTACCTTTACCTTACCTTTACCTTTACCTTATGTGTATGTAGGTGAATACCTATACCGATAATGTTGACACATAATTCTCTCTCAAACAAAAAGTATTTATATCAACAACTATCACGATAAAACTGTAGGTAAATTCACATGTAGTCTACTGGCAATTACCACGTGAGTGCAATTTCCATCACTATTTCCTTTGCACTAAGGTAGTAATTTGATTAACTAAACATCACCCAGCGTACCTATTTATAGGAAGTAGCAAGGTCAGAACAGTAACTAAATAAATAACAAAAGTAAACAAAGTCAAGGCTTAGCTAACTCATAGGCAATTCTGCTAAAAGTACTACATATTTGCCTAGCGACAACGCCTTTATTTCCTTAACATTAAGGGCTACTTTTCCATGGCAATTGATGCTATATAATAATTTCGTGTTGACGGAAGATACTCATCATACATGATTTGCACGTGATGCAAAGATAAGGGCTGGGATTTTGTGAATAAAATGAAATCGATATTAGTACTTCATTAAAGGTAATTCACAAATGATTCAGAATTGTAATGTTTCATTGTATGACGAAACGGGGGCGGAACTGAATGATGTAGAACTACAACGTGTGAACCTCGTTTTGATAAAAAATCTTTCTGTTAAGACACAAAGAAAAGTTGCATTATTTTAAATTCAACACACTTTGTCCATCCGCAAGAACTCATCTTGCGAAGACGACCTGATAAAGGTCGCACAAAGCAGTTGGATTTAGCTTGGAACAAAATCTGTGGTCGACTTGGTTGTGCAACCCAATGGTTGTTAACGACCAAATTAACATTAGTGTTTGTTTTGGTGTCTACATACATACATAACTTCACGCCTGTCTCCCATGGGGGTAGGCAGAGACTAAGGAACGCCAATTACTACGATTCTTACATACCTCTTTCGCTTCATTAACAGTCATCAATGTTTTCATGCATGCTCGTCGGTTAAGGGTACTTTTAATTTGGCCCTTTTTTAATATATCGCCAATCTGGTCACTATATGTCCGTCTAGCGCGCCCTCTACCGACGGCCCCATTCATAGAATATTTTATTTATATTATATTATATTTTTATTCCCCATTTTGGTGTCTCTAGACATCATCGTCGCATCATAAGTTGTGCAATCAAAGGTTTTAAAGCAATAGGGTCTATTAAAAAAAATCTGCTTTTTAGCTATCTCCCATCTCTTTTTCCCTCAGGTTGGTGCTGTTGCTGTCTCTGTTGCAAGTTCTTCAAGCCGCGACAGACAATAGAAGAAGCTAAACGATACGTAGTGCTGTACCCACCGGGTATATTTAAAACTAAAAGTGGAGAAATACTTTACGAGCCTACCGAAAGAGAGAAGGAATGTTACGAAGAGTTCCAACATTTCATTAAAATATTGTAGAATTTTTATTTTTTATTTTGTAGTCAAAGTATAATGTATAGTAAAATAACTGATAGTGATGGAACAGAGTGTAATAGACATGGTACCAGTTACCGAAGCTAGAGTAACAGCATACGCTACACTTTCGATGACGTAACTGCGATATTCAACCGTTTGCCAAGCGGGATTAAGGATAATGGCAAACCCCTACTTAAAAAAATTGTATTCAGGAGTCGTAAATTCCCTATTAACTTGGGTGATGTGAGCACAGGAGAGGAGAGGAGAAGAGATGCGAAATAGCTATAAGATCGTATTTTTTCTCCGTATTGTAGTAGTATTTTTAAAATGAAGTGTCCGAGATATTTACAAGTTGAATTCGTTTTGTGCATTAAAAGAATCGAGTATTTACAAAACCACTTACCTCCAATATTTGGTTCGCTTTAGAGAAGTCATTATGGTACAGTGCAAGCGCCACAAGGCTGGTCGGTTTGGCCAGCATTATCGATATAAAGTCGATCCCATTCCCTTTTTTAGATGGATAAGCTGAAAGAAATAAGAAGCTGATTACAATTATCAAGTGTTTCAAGCTATTTATGGAAAATTAAGGAGTTATTGATGCTCATCTAATGTTACCATAAAATTACCAAATCGCTTAGCATATTACTCGACTTGACAGAGACTGTGCTTGTCGATTTATCGGATGCTTTCAAACCGCTTAGCAACTAATAAGAAAATTTATTTAATGTCACCTTTGAAACTAAAAATACTGAACAACACTCACTTTCATCAGACACAGTAGAAGCAAACATTACTTGTTCAACATCTTGTTTAGAGCTCGTATTCTTCCGTCTTGTCTTTGGTTTCTTCCTGAACACTTTGAGGTCCATCTCTCGAGCCTCGTCATCACTGCTCTCGTCCACTTCCACGTAATCTAAACACAGCTTCAACGGCAAGGGGCTCATGTCCGGAGACAATGTCGACACCAACTGCAGCTTCCAAATCGAATGGTTAACCACCTTTACCAACTTCTTAAGCCTCAGAAACACCTCCTGCTCATCATCCACTTGAAACTTCTCTTCTAAAGTCTCCAAACATAATTTCAAAGTATTCAGTACTAGTTGAGTTGTATACGAGTTACACATAAACCCTGCATTACTGCTGTTTATGTTCTTCGAGGTCGATGTCTGCTTCTTGGCATAGAAGTACGAACAATCCGAGTGAGCTCCGCAAGGGTAGTCCTGACTGTGCTCATGACAAGAAAAGTATTCGTATCTCAAGAAGAGACACGAGAAAATGTTCTCTATTACTTCTATGCAGCTCTGTAAAGGTTGGATTGATAGCACTAGGCGTTTGAGTTCATCCAGGGAAGACACAGTACTCTGAGAGTCATCTACTCCTTCAGAAGAGTTGACTATCGTGTCAATTATTTTAGTTATTGCACAGTAACTATTATACGTCATTACATCCCAGTTAGAGCTAGATTTCTCGTGACTCTTGTTTGTCATTTTATTTTTCAAAGTTTTCAACTCTGCTATAAAATCATTGTTTGTATTTAAAAGTCTCGAAACTTTATACCTATCTACTTTAGAAAGCCTACATACTTGAGATATCACGGCGAGAGCACTTTGTGCCAACACTTGACTAAATATAGACGTGGTCATTATTTTACAATTGTTTTCTAAACAAAACTTTATGATTGTCAGTTCCCTTTTCACTTCGGTTATGTAGAATTGTAGGTGGTCATCACAAGTTGTGTATGTGTCCAGGATAGAGAATATATTTGTCAGCTGATGCACTAGGGAGGTGAGGTCGAATGTTTCAGCACTGTTAGTGAGATCAATGAGCACCATTATTAGAATCTGTTTAGTAAAGTTATTGATTTTGAATGTCACATTCTTCATGTCATGGACCTGCTGTTTGTACACCTGGGCAGCCTTCAGCAACCAGTGTGTCCTGTCCTGGTAACAAAGCTCCAGCATGTACTCTGGCGTCAGTTTGAATTCCTTCTGAGGCTCATTTCTTTGCATCAGCTCTGAGGTTATAGATAAAAGTTCTGGCTTTTCATGTGGTATGAGACTCAGTAGGATTTGTTTTCTGAACTGTCTGAAGTGTTCTTCAGCTACAGGTTGCAGTATGTGGTTCACAAACTGAGGCATGTAACCTTCATTCCATCTAACTAGAGAGATTAATGTGATGAGTCTGTCTATGGAGTTGGTCTCTGTCAGCTCATATTTCAAGATGTCTAAATACAGTGCTTGTATTTTGTTCAAGTTTGCATCATCTTTCAAAGCATTCTGCTGTATGTAGGACAGAATTGCTGTAGTAGTTACGGGGTTATTCTTTAAATTAAGCTTTAAAAACTCTATTGCCTCATTACTAAATTGTTTACATGGTTTCGATTCTTCTATGTCATAGTAAAGCTGTATGATTTCCTGAGAAAGAAGATAGTTTTATATAAATAGGTTTTAGACCTTAAAATCAATAGTTTTAAATGCTCATTTCAACTTACATCATATATTTCTCCTGTGAGTTGATCAAGAAGTTTCAATATGTATGTCAGTTCTTCTTCCTTCATCTTGGAGTTTTATTTTTTCTGCAACAAGAATAACAAAGGTGAATGTTGTAGACCAGAAATATAGCCTGGTTTGATAACTATTTCGACTATAAAAAATTTAGTAAAATATCTATACAACTTAAAAGACAATATTTGACAGATCCTGGCTTACAGAAGTTGCAGCGGTTTTGGAAAGTTGTGGTAGGATTGTCCCATAAAATAAAAAAGACAATATTTTACACTATTAGCAAATTACTCACTATTACACAACACACAGGAAGACGAAAATCTTTATGTATTTTAACTTTAACAAACAAAGCATATAGGTAAATATTTGTGACTTATATAACAAACTGATATAGGCCTAAACTACCTTGTCAAAGTAAACAAATAATTATTGTGTTATCTATGCTTGTGAACTGTGGGTCACAAGTCATTGACACTATTAATTTTATTGTTGCTATGGGGTAGACATCATAATGCATTTTATTGTGAAGGTAGTTTATAAGGATGGGACTCATTTGACTTTTAATTGAATGTATTGTGTTATTGTGTTCAATAGTGGTAGGATCATAAAAGGAGGAAGAGCAAAGGAGGTCTGTATATTTATTTTTCAGACGATTTAATGGATGGAATATAATTAATTTTTTAGGGTAAGGATGATTAAGTTATTTTTGTTTCATATGCTAGGGAAATATATTATTAAAAAGTCACGATTGTATACTTATGCAGATAATATCAACATTAAAAATGTAATAGATAGTATTTTTTGAAAATTCTGGCTTCCAGGAAGTATCTATTTAACAGTTAAACATTTAAAATTCTAGGTTAATGAAGCAATCAAGGATAATATTATCAATGACGAGAATTCATTTACACTTCCTTATATATTATTATTGTTATTGTAACATTATCCTTAGATATTATGTATATACCTCCTTATACCCTTAGATTACAAATCAAATATTTTTTTGGTGATATAATTTTTACCCGAGTTTATGGTGATAATATGGAAAATTAAATTATCGTACATATAAATTAGAATACAATGGGAGTGTGATTGCATATTCTTAATAAGAAACTTGATTGTATATAGAAGAGATTCAGATTCGGACGACATTTCTATTCTATGAACCAATCGTCTCGAAACTATTACACAGATTTTTTATCGAACAATGAAGTAGAAATAGCTTCTGGGTTAGTAACATTGTGTAAATAAACAGAAATAATCAAACATAACAATAACAAGTAATCTTACCTGACGTAAACAAACGGACCGTGTTAACCAGGTAAAACCATTATTAAACAAAGTCTTCACTGAGAAAGTTACCTAGAATATTGTTTGCTTAATAAAATAAAACTCCATAACAGTCGAGTTATCTCAATCTCTGAAAATAAAACCAACACAAAGTATAGCAGATTTTATGACATTTGGTTGACGTTTATTTACCTTAACGAAAGACGTCATAGAGATGTGTAATAAAAGGAATAATTTTGCGTTTTAGTCGAATATTTGATGTCAAGCACTGGTTTCACCACAGATATTATCGAACAAATGTCATGTCAAAACCAAAAATAATGACAGATTGAGATTGAGAGCATACGTTTTTGGCGAAATAAATTCGCCAAATTATGTTTGTTTAAATTGTAATAGTGCACAATTTTAGGTTTGAGTTTGTGGTAAATGAAGATAAAGTGATATTAATATCAGTTTAACTATTAATTGGTGGCTTTCAATACAGCTATTATGAAACTACTGTCAAGATGCAACTTAATTAAACATGTCTCTTTTCTACACCGGCCCAATATTGTTAAACATGAATACGTTGTTGCGGTCAGAGAATATGTTACGGTCCTCTCTAGTTCGAGACGAAGGATAAAACACTTACCAATCACATCTTTATCATATTTCCATTATTCTGATGATAAGAAACCATTTCTAACCTTTGAGAAAAAGACGGACGCACTGAAGGATGCGTTTGAACACAAAAAGGTACAGTTTAAAGACACAGAGCACCGTATTAGACAAAAAGGTGAGGAATTAGTGAGGGACATAAAGCATCAAAGAGAAGTTACTGGCCAGAAACTAAGAGTGAAGAAAGAATACATCATTAAAGACTTACTCGAAACCAAAGCAAAGGTTAAGGAAAGATTTGAAGAAGTTGTAGAGGTAAATAGTAACATCAGCTTTATTCAGTCTCAAATCTACACCTAGTACTTCACAAGTTCACTGTTATTGTCTTTACCAAATAAATGCTTATTAGAGTTTTGCTTCAACTACTGCAGTCTCATTAAATGATGATCTTCTTGTCACTTTGTGAACTGAAATCCTTTATTGTAACTAAATCTTTAATTGAAACATAAATAGTTTACTCAAAATACCTCACTCTAATGAGAAAATATAATAAAAATCAAAGTCAAATATATTAGCACATACATACAAATGTAATTTATTTACTTCAAATTAATCTCTTATTGGAATGATAAATTAAATGCAGAATGAAATCCTTTAAAATGTTTGTTTTCAGAAAGAGAATGTCCTCACAATACCAAATATTTTATGTTTTACAAGAATAGCCCTCTCACCTTATCTAGGATACACAATAATCCATGATGACTACAATGTTGCTCTTGGGTTGTTAGTTTTTGCTGGTGTCACTGATCTGGTAAGATTTCATATCCTCTTTTTAAAATATCTGTTTCCTACACACTCGTAAAGACCATATTTTCCACAGAGTAATTAGCAGTGGTATGTAGCAAATAGTCTTGATAATATCTATTTGTAAATGCAGGTAGTGTAAAATAAAACTTGTGTCTTGAAAATGGCTCTTAGAATATTATTTTTTTCCCTAATAAAACATTGTTCCACACTAGGATTTTCTCCTGTGTTGTGGGTGCGTTCACAAACATATAAGTTCACATAGCACACTCAGACCAGAAACTATAATTTGTGGATCACACAAAAAGATGTACCATGCGAGAATCTGCATGACTGCATGGTGGCTGGGCAACCTGCTGCCGTGCAACGTGTCACGGGTTCGATTCCCGCACAGAACCACACTTTGTGTAATCCACAAATTCTTGTTTCTGGTCTGGGTGTCATTGTATATGTAAACTTGTATGTTTCCACGAGACAGAGAAAATCCTAATGTGGGGCAAGGTTTTTTAATACCAGAATGAAAAGAAAAGATTCGAACGACATGTTGTGCAACAGCTGGTTACCACCGCACAAACTGTGCAGTCAATTGATGATGTTATTTCATATTTACTGCTACAGCTTTTAGTATTAAATACAATAATTTGCTTGTATGTTCCAGTTGGATGGATGGATAGCCAGAAATTGGAAGGGCCAATCAACGAAAATGGGCTCATTCTTAGATCCAATGGCAGATAAAGTTCTAGTTGGCACTCTATTCATATCTCTGACCTACCAGAACTTGATACCTCTGTCACTGACACTGCTCATAGTCAGCAGAGATGTTGCGTTGGTCACAGCTGCCTTTGTCATCAGATATATGAGTTTACCACCACCTGTAAGTACTTTTCAATTACCTGAAACTACAATAAACTATTTACTACAATAGACTAATGATTACTTGTTCCTAGGTCTTCTACTATTCTCTTATCATAACATCACATAGTCTTCATAGGTATCACTGAACAGATTTTTTTTCTTGTTCTTTCCATCCATGAATATTTATGTTTATTCATCGCACTGTTTAACACATGGTTTTGTGACAAACAATACCTTATTTAGTAATTCAGTGCTATAAACAGTACATTGTTATTTTTAAAATACATAAACACATCAAAAGTAGGTCACAATACTATAATATTTTTATTTAACTGCCGTGTAATGTTTTCCTTGTGTTTGACCTTTACAGAGAACACTAAGCCGGTACTTCGACGTGACTCACGCCACGGCGCAGCTCGCTCCTACATTTATCAGCAAAGTTAACACTGCTATACAGCTTTTACTAGTGAGTTTCAAATTCTGTAATTTAAACCTAAATATTTGTGTATGTGTGCAACAGAGCATAATAAGTAGCATGTAGCATACTATATGTTTACTGATGTATATTTATGACATTTTCCAGGTGGGCACAACATTAGCATCTCCTGTGTTCGGCTTTGTGGACCACCCAGCACTACAAGCTCTGTGCGGAGTGACCGCAGCGTCAACTGTAGTGTCAGCCATCAGTTACCTAGTTAGTAAGGACACATACAAATTTTTGAAGAATAAGTCCTGAAACGTCAAAGTTTTTTTTTGCCGAAAATCGTTTTTGTAATTGTATAGTCTTCCATAAAATGTTTGTTTCGTAGATAAGTGTTAACTAATGATAATTATCTTGACAAGTGTAAATAAATCTTTTAATATACAAACAAATACCTATTTCAGTTAATCACCTTTGGAATTTCTGACAGTTAAATTACAAGGATATATAAAAGGATGATTGGAATTCTGTGTAAATAAAGAGCAATCATTTACAAAAGGAAACAATTTATTTTTTCATTCTATTCATATGAATAAATTGCAGTTAATTTTTATGCGAAATAAATCAAAGTTATAAAAAAATATTTAGTAGTATAATATTAACTAAATTATGCTTATCCTAAACGAAATATAATCGAATTCAGGCTAAATGGGATTCTCGTGAGATGCATTTTGTGGAAATGTTAATGGACACAATGTCTTGGAAACACATGTATGTGTACTCTGCAGTGTTATACTTTGTTAGGATTAAAGATCTACAAAAATAATGTTGTGGAATGTAGTGTTTGAATAAAGTAACATTTTAGTAGGGTTAAATTTATTTTACCTCATCCACTAAATAATACTTGTAGGCCAAAACATTTGATAGCTATTTAGCAGCACTGCATTAGGCTAACCTAGATTGAGATGAAAAATATTCTAGTTTTAGGTGTCTAGTACTTTATGAATATCAAATTATGGACTGAATGGATATGGATGGTGAAGATTTAATTTCAAAAAGGCACATACTAATGTCTAAGTTTCAATACACTCATGTACTTACATGAAATAAATAAACCTAATTGTAAGTCCAATTGTTGCAACAATTTTATATTTTATTAATGACTTATATATTTTTTGGTATTTGCTTTCCATCAAATAAGTAATAACAAGCTGAAAAGCAATGTACAATATTAAAATTTCAATATTTTCACAATGAAAATAAGCTTTACTTTGATTGACGATTGTGTTATAAAATTATTGCTTCGACAGTACTGATCTACTATTATATTTTACAAAGTTTAATTAAACATAAACATAACTGTAACCAATTTCAAAAGATCAAAGACTAGAGAACATTAACTATTAGTCCTGCAAATTCTGATAGGTTTAACAGCTAACACTAATTATATTATAAACAATAATATCAAGTTATTAATTTAAATTATACTTTAAGTTAAGCACGCTTATAGCTTTAAATACCTATGTTTTATACATAAAGAAAATTTCAAATTAAATATGGCAGCTAGGTTTAGTTGGAAGAAACTAACAAAGTAGTAACCATAAGTAATAATATCCTGACCTTAGCCGTTGGAGACAGAAGTCAGAGATACAGCAGACTGTAACCAGATCTTTGGATAAGCTTACATTACGCATGTAGGTATCTAGTTTATGAAAATATGTTCTCACAATTTTATTACAAATGGTATAAAAGCATGGTCCAATACTAATAGGCTGTACATAGTGAGGTTCATTACTTTTACAATTTTATGAGCACTTAACATGCATGGTAATACAGACAGGCACCAAATAAAAACGAGATAATAAAAGAAACATTCACTGTTCAGATGTCACAGGGTAGTAAAATCTTACACTTATAATAATTATAAAAATTGTACAAAATAAAATAGATAGTGATTGCACAGTACATTTAAATATTATTACACTACATACTGTTTTATAAAAAAATAATAATAATTTCTGATATTGGTAACAGCACTAGCTTCATTAAGTAAGTTTTCACATATTGTGTAATACTATTATTACACTTATGATAATTAATCATTATAGTCAACTGCATATAAATACAAAATGCATGTTAGTTTATGTAAATGAAGTTTGGATGAGTACATAAGTATCATGATTAGAATGCTGTTAACCAACCTTATTAATCAACTCATCACAGATAGCTGTGAGCTCCTCATTATCCTTAATCTTCTGTGCCAGTGACTCCTGCAAGGAGGATGCATGTACTTCACTCTTCTTAAGCATAGCATTTAGTTTTAGAATCTCAGCTTGATGAGCTTTCTTCACTGAATCTAGTTCTGCATTGGCCTTGTTAAGCTGCTGCATGGCATGCTGTCGGAGGGTTTCATATCTTGCTTCTAACTTCTGTATAGCATCATTGTTCTCCTCAACAGTTCTCTTTAACATTTCCTCATTACTTTTATATCCTTGAATGATTACCTTACACCTCTCATATTTGGTGTGCACATCATTGAATGCATGTTCCATAGAGGCTAGATGCGCTGCAGCTTCATCGCGCTCTCTCACCAAGGTGGATCGCTCATCAGTCCATCTCTTCCCTTCTGCCTCCCGTTCTCCAATAAGAGAAGATATAGTGCGCTCATATTCCTCCATGACTACACTCATTTGTTTATTATTTCTTACTTTTTCAGCAACTCGCTGAGAGAGAGCTTTTTCCTTTTCCGCGTATTCTTCATTCTGTTCAGACAACTTTTTTATTTTTGTTTCACATTCTTCTAATCTTTCTCGTAGTTCATGGTTGATGTCTCTAAGGTTCTGTGCTTCTTCCTCTTGTGCTGTGAGCAGCTCTTTGACAGCACGAAGCTGTTCTACAGTGTGTGGGTCCATGTCTGACTGCCGTGTGATGACTGGGGGTGGGGGTGGGACGTTGGCTCCCAGACTCAATAACCGGTCTATCGTGGCTATTGCTGGGGACACAGTGTTTATTTTTACAGGGGTTACCTTGGCTGCTGCGGCCTGCTGACTCCTGTTCACAGCAGGTGTAACAACTTGCGTAGGTTTCTCAGTAGGGCCACTTATATTGGGTTGCACAGATAATTGCTGCATTGAGTTCACTATATTCTGCTCTGTACCTGACATGGTACTACACACTGATTTCACTATTCCCGAACTATTTTCCTTTTATTTAATTATGTTCACATGGTCTCACCTGAAAGTACGTAAACATTTTATTGACAGATTGCAATATCACTTAGCACCATATAAGCCACTGATCAAGACAAACTGGTTTGCGCAAAATCCATTATCTTAATTAGATTAATACAGCCAAATCTTATTAAATAAGATTAGGTTCGTTCCACTGGAGTGTAAAAAAGTAATCGGGAATGTTGAAATATGTGAAATGGTCAACATCCCACGCAAGGTGCAATGAATAGGAACAATAAAGTTTTAATTTGCGTTGCTTGCTGAGATAACCTACCGCAATATCCTTGAGCCATAAAGCTCCGAAATAATAGCAACGATCGGAATCTTTTATACACAATTTTACTAAAATTGAGTAACGAAACAAAGTGTAACAATTAAATAAACATCACTTCACTGTACTGGAAAATAACGATGAATGATCATCAAGGCGATGACATCAGTAATTTACGCCACAGATGCGTTAACCATTTTAGTCTATGAAATCACCACTCCTCGTTTTGACAACAGGATAGCAAATTAAAAACTTAACGAGTGTGAGCAAGACCACAATATTTCCAGAAATGCTAAGAATGGAAATGGAATGACGGAAATGCACTTTACGACAGTCCAAAAAAAGAAAAAGTTGCTTTTTGACATTTGATTAGAGGTGTAATATTTCTTCAGCAGATTTACGGTTTTTTTTTTCAAAAAAATCTTAATATGCGCTTTTTTTATAAAATTAGCAAACTATCCATCTTTTCTTTCGTTTTATTTAGCATATACAGAAATATTCATTATGTCAGTAAAACTGAAAAAAATAATAATTATAAACCTTTATTGGCTACTTACTATATCTGGGGTTGGAAATTCTCAGAAATAGCAACGAAACTCTGTGCTAGGCATTATACCTGTCGCGGAGAACCTAACGGGTAACCGGGGCTCCGGCTCGACGTGCAGGAGAAGGAACAGGGTGGTTTTTAGTCAGTAAGAGTCTGACACTCCCTTCCGCCTCACCCAGGCGGGAGCAGTCATTCGATGATTTTCCCCCCTTAAAAAAAAGGCATTATGCCTGCAAAATGGTAGATAATGGAATAGAAGGTGACTTCTATTCAAAGAGAGATTCTTCTATTATCTTCATTTTAGTGAGATGAATCACAACTAGTGATAAGAGGGTGTTATGTCCTAAGGGTATTGGATATTTGTACTTTTGCTTACCAATCAAGGAGGATAGGTTGCGGTGAATACGGAATAAAAATAATTGTTTCTAACAACTTTAATATTTATTATTCAACTACTTAATCTTATCAAAATATATTTAAACTCCAACAATATATTTATCTGTTTTGTACATTTCGTAGGCAAATTCTTCATTATGAGTGGGGTCAAACTCCAGTCCTGTAATGATACAAATCAATGTAAGTATTTTATTATCCACAACGCAAGACGTCCATTGCTGAGTTGACGAGTCTACCCTATTAAATGTCCAATCAATTTAATTCATTGTAAATTAAATCTCTCGCCTTATACGTAACATTGACTGTCTCGTTTACTAGTCACAATGTAACTGACGAGTCTCGGTTTCGATTCCTGAATGGGGGCATAATACAATTATATTTTATTACTTATCTTATGGCTCATAGAGTACCAGACAAGTAATAATAACAAATATCAACTATTTCATTATCATAAAGGAAATGCATACTTGTAAATGATAAAATTTTATCATACAAGTACTTACAGACATGTTTTATGAACTTTCACATTTACATTTACGTTTATTAAATTCTTGACATGGTGCAGGCGGGACTACCGAGAAACCGTTTCCCAAAAGACTAAAGGTTAGCAATTAGTTTCTTCATAACTTGTGAAAAGTGGGCGTTACATTGTCCATGTACGCCCACGTTCCTTCGGAAAACAAAAGACGTTAATTACGTCATTTGTTATTTCTTACCAATATATTCGATTTCCAGATCGAATTTGCCGTTGATCTTGTCACCGCAAGAGATGCCGAAGTGTGTCACTCTGTCAAATCGGAACCTAGTCTGTTTGTCCTGAATGCGCCCTTTTGAACCTAGCACGAACTTTGAGAAAGGTATCTGTAAAAAAAATGTTTAAAGTTTACGTTATTTTCACTCTTAATCTATACATAATAAGGTACATCAACTGTTGAGATAGTGAACTCAGGTTTGATAGCTACTTCCGTAGACTAGTAAGTAAGTACCTGCCTAGAAATTATTTCAAGCGCAAATAAGTACGAGTTTTCAAGGGAAAACGTTTTGCATAATAAATTACACAGCCATAGCCTTGGGGTCGCGACGTATAGCTATGTTGCTATGGTAATGTAGTAGCTCTACTTATTTACACCTGCATTACACATGTACGGGATCCAGCTACATGAGACTGTCAACGATACTCATTCATTCTTTTTTATGGGGTTAAAATCTTCTTATGACTTCTCCCGCCTTGTATCAGTCAAACTCTTACTGACTAAAAACCACCCCGTTCCTACTCCTGCTCTTCAAGCCGGAGCCCCAGCAACCCGTTAACTCCTCCGCGGTTCCGTATCGCTATTAACCCTGTTGGGCACCATCCGTGGTGGTCTGATGGCTCTTTGAGGCGAGAGAACGCGACGCGCCGTACGCTCGGGTTTGGTTCTGGTCGGGCGGCGAGCTACCCATGCTCATTCATTCGAGTTACGACTTTAGGGTACAATAATTAAAATTGAAAGTCAATTAAACAAATTACTTGTTAACTTACTGTTCTACATACCTTTGCAATCTGCCAATAAGGTCCACCTCTCGTATAAAGAACGTAATGATAAATATCATTCCATGTGATATCATACACTCCTTCACAGGATATGTTCAGCAGGTAGGACCTGCCATCGCCTCTTATCTTCAGAACTAGAGTATTGTACAGATGCCAGTCGTACGTTCCCGCCCGCTTGAATGATTTCTGAGAAGATAAAATTCGGTAAAAAATATAAAAATATTATTATAGACAAGGCTCAGACAGCTACGAATCGCGTGCATTAGAAATTAATACAGCCAAGATTTTCAAAATGCATTTTGCAATTTGGGTCATTCTAGGTAACCTACCAGACTGTTAGTCTAGACGAGACTAGCTATAGGTATGTAATTCATCATCATCAACAGCCTATAAATGCCCACTGCTGAGCAAAGCCTCTTCTCACACGGAGAAGGTTAGAGCATTAATCACCACGCTTGCTCAATGCGGGTTGGCGATTTCAAACTTATAATTAGAAGTTATAAGTCCAGGTTTCCTCACGATGTTTTTCCTTCACCGTTTGTCAGTGGTGTCTAAATAATCTTAGAAAGTACATATAACTCGGAAAAAGTCACATTGGTACTTGTCGTTGGTAGGTTTCGAACCCGCACCCTCATGCATGAGAAGTGGGCGTCTTAAACCTCCGGGCCACCACGACACCTGATTATGTAATGTATGGTATGTAATTAATAACAAATAATGCCGCAATGCCTGTTATTGGCTCTGATTACGAGTCAGACGATGCGGTTGTTTACCGATTTTAGAAACCTACACCTATTACACTGCGGTAGTTCCTAGGTAGGTAGGTACTTATATAAAACATTTTTGCTGCAATACTGGCGCAGTAAGTCCTCAGCTGCAACTTGTAAGGCAATTTGTTAGGTTTTTACTGTAACTGGTATAGATGTACTGTTAGTATTGTAACTCACATACCATCACGCCTTTTATCCCCGACGGGGTAGGCAGAGGTGCATATTACGGCACTTAATGCCTCTTCACAATGTAACACCCACTTTTCATTGTTAAAAGTCCCCTTGTAATAGAGGGTGAGCCTATTGCCATATACCGGGTAAAATTCCAGTCTGCGTGCTACTATTAAGATTTTTTTAACCCAGTAATATTTTGCCCGACCCGGAAATCGAACCTGAGACCCTTGCCCGGCCGTCGCATTTGCGACCATTCGGCCAACGAGGCAGTATTGTAACTCGTATACATTAAATAATTCAAAGAACTTACTCGTACTCTCTTCGATCTTATAGCACAATAGCCCGCCTTTTTTATCCGTCCATCTTTCGGTACACGAGTATCAAGGTAGCCGTGAAACAGGCCTCTACCGGCGCTGCTCATGTCAAAGTTGCATTTACTAAAACCTTCATTGTGGTCACTGTCGCAGGTCGTTGTAAAACTGTCCAACTTACTAGACTCATTGAAACACCAGAGTATGTCTGTTTCACCTGAAGAAAAAAAAAAATTGTTAGGCAAGTTTGAGGCAACCAGGTGCTGCACGTGTCGCGTGTTCGATTCCCGCACGGAATACCGAAAGCTTTTGTGTGTTCCGTAAACCTATTGAAAATTCTGTATCTGTTTGATAACATATTTTATTTCTCTTCTACACAAGCACCTTTGGCATACAGTTGTTAAGCCGTTTCGCGTGTTATAATTATGTCACTTTAAAATATCAGATTTTGTAAACATTAAAACAACAATATTATTATAAAAATTCTTTATTAAATAGCTAAGTACAAAATGCACGCCTGGAGAGAAAGATTACGACTTATTCTCAATCATTACTACACAAGTATTAAATTTAATGAAATGAAATATCCTGGGTTTTACCAACACCCCTAAAATTAGCATTACAAATCTAATATAACATTGGCAGTAGATACAATAGAATATTTATCTCTATAATATATAAAAACTGCAAAGGCCAGTAGGTAGTAAAAAAATCTTGCAAATAGACAATTTGAAAAAAAAAACCAGTAATTGTCATAAACATTATAAATCTCATCAGTATTCTATTTTCAAATATTTAATTCAATTAGATGTCCAGCAGTAAGTATAGTTATTGAATTTAAAGTATTATTAGCTACAAAATATTTTTGATGGCACAATATTTTACAAGTCTTGGAAAATAGTTATATCAAATCTTAAAACATGATTGTATTTGTTCCATGGCTCATATTTATTTCGATGCCTTTTATATTAGGTACTTTAAGTAACTAAAATGTCTTGTTTTAATGACTATCACCTAGCTACTAATAGCTGTTCATATGTTATCTTTCGATTATCACATTGGAATATTTTTATAGTTATTTGTTACCACAATTTACTCTATTACAAGAACAATGTTTGATGTTCCATTCAACACACAGTTGCATAATTACAATGTGTCAAACAGCTTTATTTATTGTTTGTAAAATCTTATCCGAGTCATTAATTTAAAATGTTGTAGTTTTACTACTACTCTATTATGTCAAAAATACCAAAAAGTATGCAGTGTATTTAGATTTACAGGTCAGGAACTAATACTGTCATAAAATAGAAACATAATCACAAACAAATGTCATAAAAAGTTAAAAAACTAAATACTAATAAATAATATTATTAAAACTAACAATTTAACAAAAAAGTTGAGATTCATCACAGAGAGAAGTTAGCTAAGACAAGCAGACCTATAACATCACATGCTTGGAAATGTGAAAAAGCACCGAGTGAAGATATAGTATTATGAAATTTAGTAAATATATTAATGCACTTCACTAATGAGCTGATCATATAACCTCATTAATTCCTCATTATCTCTAGTCTTCTGGATCAAAGATTCCTGTAAGGAAGCTATAGTAATTTCATGTTTTTTAACAGTAGCATTCAACTTTGTTACTTCAATGTTGTAGTTCTTTTTGAGGTTGTCCAGTGTTTCATTAGCCTTAGTCAGTGCCTCAGAAGTCACTTGTTTCAAATTCCCATACAACTCTTCATACTTCTTGACAGCAGCCTGATACTCGGTCATTTTCTGTTCATAAACCTTTTCCCTCTCTTTTGTTTCCAATATCACACTCTTACACTTTTCATATTTTGTAAGGAGATCATTGAAAGAACTCTCCATATTACTCAAATGGTTTAAAGCCTGATCCCTTTCTGATGTGACTTTTTCCAGAGTCTCATAGTTGAGTACCTTTTCACGCTGTTGTTCCTCAATTAGTGAGGATATTGTCTTCTCATACTCCTCCATGACAATACTCATTTGTTTGTTGCTTAAAATCTTGTCATTGATTTGTTGAAGCAATTTATTTTCTTTTTGTAAATAATTTTCCTTTTCATCAGTCAGTTTCTTAACTTTAGCAGTCAGATCTTCAGTTACCCTGTTGTGATCATGTTGCATATCCTGTATTGTACACTTGAGCTCTCTATTCTGTTGTCTGAGCTGCAATACCTCCTGTTCTTGTTTTTGAAGAATACTTCTCAGAGTATGCAGGTGATCTACATCTTGTGAGGTAAAATTGTGATAGCGAGGACTTCTTGGTGCAGCTGTGGGAGGAGTGCTGCCTGATATGCTGATGAGCCTCTCAGTGGCCACCCCCCTTGAGGGTGTCAAAATAGCAGAAACACTGCGCATGAGGGCTGGAGTAGGTTTATTGCAGCTACCACTTGTCTTACAGTTTTCATTGTTGACTACAGGTGGCACAACTTGCATGGGTTTGCTTAGTGAAGGCATAGCCCCTGTAGACTGTGAGTGTTTAGGTGCAATGACATTGTTTTCTGTATTTGACACAGTGCTGCCTGTTTCATATCCCACATCACACTCGGAGGAGTCTACTGCAGATTCAGTATTAACAGAGCTGGCATCTTCTAGCTTTTGACGTGCATACAGAGGATCGAACTTCACAAACAAACTTTCCTTGCCACGATCTATGTGGTTATGGTTGCGATTTGACTCGGCACATTTGACGAGATAGTCCAAACTTGTGGCATCAATAAACATATCGTCAGACATTGGTACCTCTTTCATAGTTACATCACAAATGCTATCGAAGTCTGATCCTGTTAAGAGGTCGCTGGTCTCGTTCCTCTGTTCCGACACATCATTACACCGCTTAGGAGACATCGTCATTAGGTCACCCACCGAAGATACTGGTGTTATGAAACTGTCCTCAGATGTAGTTGTGCTTGCTCCGACAGACAACATGTCTTCATTAATTGTCACACTGTTACTTTCTGATCCTCGACCCAAAAGATTTTGGAATTTCTTGTAAAAGGTTGTTATGCCTTTATCAGACGCAAAAGAAGAATCGTTGAGGATTAAGTTTGAAAACATTCGCCTTTATTGTTCTGAGACTGTAAATATTTTTAATACACACTGCTCGACAGTTACAGGTCGGGTCTAGTGTAGGTGCTATTTATAAAACTTGTGGAAGTTGTGGATCAACAAAAACAAAATAGAAAGAAGCAGAAATTATTCTTAGCTCAACGACTTCAACGGTTTTAAGTTTTGAATGTACCTGTCACAGACTACAAATTATTATTTTTTCTTCGTGACACTGTCAGCTGTCACAGCTGACCATAAGGAAAAATCGCCTAAAAATAAAATCGACTAAAAGGCAAGGTGGTTAGTGCTAATTTAATATGAAAACAGAATGTTATGAAATCTGAATTTGAAACCATTTTTCAAGTTTGTAAATTTCATTAATAACTAATTTTTCATTCATTATTAGTATAATAGGTTAAAGTGTTTGTTTCATCTAAAATAAGCAATCTCATTTCCTGGGCAAAGGCTTAGGGTTAAGATGCTTTTTATTTACTAAATTAAATAAAATTGTTTAACACGAAAATACGTGTGGCAAAAAAACCTTTTTTAACTATTTCACATTTTATGTAAGCAGTGGTTATTGATAAACAAAGATTTAACAAAAGTAACTTCACAGAAAATCATAAGAATAAAATAGTATTTCCGCTTACTTAGATAAAATATAAAATTCAATTTTTTATTGTTCATAGGTTGTAATATTAATGTTTACAAGTTCAACAGAATAAAATAGTATTCTTTCAATTAACTCCTATATTTAAACAATTGTTCGAGCTATTTGGTTTGTAGGTAAGAAAATAGAGATTGATGTACAGACAGTACAGATACCATTTACCATTACCATTGTTACATACCATTGTTATTGTTAAATTGTATGGTTATTGGTTGGATCAGTACAAATACTGGTTGGTTATTGTCTTTGAAATAAATTAAGCTTTATTTTCTTACCTGCATATCATATTATTTAGCTGACTGTACATAGTTTTATTACTTAAAGTAATCAACATACCTGGTCTAGCAACCAATAATGGATCTGTTATGATTAATTCCTTCACTTCTTCTCCAAAAAGTTTAAACTCTTCCTTCAGTTCTTTAAATCCATTTTTAAGATGTTGAAAATTTGATATTTTTTGTTCTGTTTCGTATCCCCCTTTTCTACTGCTTTCATGAAATAACCAGCGTTGGGAACCAACTAACAAAGGTTTAGAATAACCGACACTATTTGTTTTTATTAATGATTTACACAAAATTGGTTTTGGAGTGTTATGTCTTAATAGATTTATGAAAGTGTTTATCTTACACAAAGCCATTGTATAAAACTAAAACCATCACACTGCACTAAAATAATAATAACATAACTAAGTCACCCGCGAAATAATATCATTTTTATTTAAATACAATTGTATAATGTACCTAACCTAATTTTTCAAAATATTGTATTTTCTTTACATCTGTTTTTGACAGATGACTATTGGCATAGTGAGTAGAATAGACAAAAAAGAAATGGCGAATAATCGACTTAAAATAGTTAATTTTACAAGTGTTATTGGGGTTTGAATTTAATTTATTCGGTGAATAAATTATTCTTTTATAATAATATTAATGTTAGTAGTAAATAAAATGTGTTCATAGTGGACTATTTTTAACTCGTCGAGTACCGGTTTTATAGACACAATTAAAGAACAATAGGTCGCGGTCACCGGTGACCGCTTGGTGTTTGACAGTTTAATCGACTATGAGATTGCAAGCGATTGACATTGGCTTTTCTCTGTCAGTTTCGTCACTTCGACATGCTTTGTTGACATTTTTCAATGTCAGAATTGTCAAATGTCTGATCAGTGGATGGACAACCGGCTGAGTTGTTCCGAGACTGGTTGCGATAATACTTTCACTTTACTATTCTATTAAGTATTTTCAGGGCCGCGGTTCTCGTAACGTGGTATGCCAGTCTTGGCGTGGTATTTATTTAATATCTGACGAAACAAGTGCGTTCCATTAGAGCCACGTACACAAATAGAATTATTTTACGTAAACAGCGAGCCTTTTCTCGCTTGTGAAGCATGTGTACATAATTTTCACTCGAATTAAAATAAGCAACTGAGTGAAAATGGGTATGGAGAAATATAACAATATGGTAAGTTCTTTAACTTTTGTTAATATTGATACTGAGTGGTGGTAAACATGTGTTACCTATTTTTTATTGTACCTATTTTTAATTTTGTATATGAAATTAAATTAATTAAGAATATATATATTTATTAATAATAAACTGTAAATGTATGGACCCAATATGTCTGAAATAAATTTTTATTTTGTTTTTATATAAAGAGTCATTTAAATATTATCAACTTAAGATTGAAACTTGAATACGGTTTTTATGAAACATCATTCTTCAATATTTTGTCCTTTGTCCTGTGGGCAAAATATAATATTGCTATTCAAAATAAAATCATGCGGAATCAATTACAGAATCTAACTCCCCAAAAAAGTCATATTTCTTTATAAATATTTACAACTTAAAATTAACTACAACTAAACTATTAAATAAAAAGAAAGTAAAAGAAAACAACAAAAATTATACCCTTAATTTAGGCGTCAAAGTATTCGTCCGCATCACTATCACAGGGGAAAGTCTTTATAATGTATATTTTATTAGAAATATTGTGCATATAAAATTTTAATATGAAAATAGATATATAATTAAATCTGCCACCTATGAAATAATTATCCTAAAAAATTGACGCTTAACTGATGGATTATTTTTGGATTATTTTTTTTTTCATTCACTATTTTAAGTTGTATATATTTATTCATAATTATGTTATTCAAGTTTATTATTCGTAATATCATATACAATAGAATTTTTTTTTTACTCTTATCACCTTAACAGGAATCTAAAGATAAGATAAATATACATAAGTGTTCAATTGATTTTCTCTGTAATCTTTATAAATGAATTGATATCTTTTATTTGAATCAATAAGTGGTATCCATTGCCAGTGTCATAGATGTTTAACTGATTAATATTTATATTTTAAGAGATAAGAAAATAGGAAAAGTAACTGTGATTTGTTGTAAAGAAGTTTCCTATGATAAATATGATATTAAACCTGCATGTACAATACAATATTCATATTTAGATACTTAAAAAAAAATTTTTTGGATTCTATATTTTGATCAAACATTTTTAATTATTCAATTGAGTTTTCATACAAGGTAAAATAATTATAAAACCTGTGTATAAATATCTTATATAGCGTTTATTTATGTATTTACAACAATTTAACTATTTACCCACCCATCAGGAAGTCCATTAGGTATTATCAAAATAGTTTTCCTGTAAACTATATTGTAAATGTAGTTGAATATATTTTATCACTATAAGTTTATGTTAAAACTTTTGTGAGAAATACTTAATTCATTATTATGTTGTTGGCTCACTCACATAATAGTTTGACAAGGAACTCAACTAGTTTACATGCACTAGTGTAACACTATAACCTTACCCCAATTATTATTATCACAATCGCAATTTTTGTGACACTGGCAGTAAATCCACATCTCACGCGAAATATTCGCGCGAGTGTTAGATGCGGTGGAGAATGTGTTAAATTGGAGTAGAAGTTGGGTTTTAAGCACTGTCAACTAAAAAAACAAATTGAGCTTCCATGTTAGTATCTAATTCTCTAATCTGTTAACGTTTTTGAACCAGGATGGCAAGCCATCAGAATACCTGTATCCTCCCGAGATACTCAAGCGTTTGGATTTCGACAAAAGCCCGGCGAAGTTTAAGCCTAAGATCAGCGCGGCGAATCCCGGGGAGGACTGGATGGTCGTAAGGCCATTGCAGCGCTCTGATTATGATAAAGGATTCCTGCAGCTGCTTGGACAGCTGACCAGTGTGGGCAATGTCACGCGGAAGCAGTTTGAAGGTAAAATATGCTAGGATATTACATTACACTCTATTTATAGTCATACAAATAATTAATATATTTTTTAAATTCTCTATGCTATTCAGAGTGTACATAAAAGCTGTTGGTTTGCGGTACCCGCGCATTAGTAGCCACAAGTTACGAAAACCAATCACTACTTGTCTTATAACATGAAGGGAAGGTGTTCTCAAGGTGAAATATACATTTCTAACATGACAACTGGCCCCACAAAAGCCTAGAGTTATAATATTAAAGGCTCGCCAATAACTTCCTAACATTGCGCCAATTAGTGTTATCTGTACCGAAATATAATTGCACAGAATTAATGAGCATGACCGATGTAACAAAATGAAAATAAAAACTGTGGTGAATTTGTAAATGGCATTTACGTTAATGTGTTTCGATAGATATGCTATGCAACAACTTAAATTGAATGCCACCAGTGTATGGTCCTATTTATCTTACGTCACACATGTGCAAAATGTGGGCACGTCGAGCATTCGTGTTGCAAGTCTGTTGACACTTTAGTAAACAGCAGTCTGTTAAAAAGTAGTTATCTTTACTCTTTAATATTTGCACTACAGGTTTTGTAGATTGGTAGACAGAATTTTTAAGTTTTAGTTCCCAAAAATACTTTCGGGTTTAGAATTTCATTACTTTATTCGATGCAAGTGTCGAATTGTCGTTCACCGTGGTGGTATAGAGGTATAGGGGAGGCCTTTGTCCAGCAGTGGATTGATGGGTGGATGGTTCTTTCGGCTTATGAAAATGAATTTAATTACACGGTGTTATTTAATACATATTTTGTATGATATGGGCACGGTAATATTATCATACGTGGTATGGTTGGCCAAATAAGCAGACGCATCACCTGATCGTAAGCTATATCGCTCCATTGAACACCCGTACGACCAGACGTCCCAGAAAAGTGAGAAGTGCATTGCTTGTCATTGTTGTGCCGGTTTTTTTGGGAGCCGTGGTGTTAGTTCTATTGAGTCGATAAGTACCGAGTGTAGAAAATAGCCATAAGAACATAAGAACGCAAAAAAACTATAATAATAAATTTCGTTTTCATTATTTTGATGCCTATATATAAACTGGTTACAATGGTATGCGAAACTTATTGACATTTAAGCATGCGACCTTGGCGAAACCGGCGCAATGATAATGACCTTTCTGTGTCTCAAGTTCCTGATCATTGACCGTTGTGAGCGATTTGAGCACTTATGGAAGAGATAATTAGGCTTATGTTTCTATGTAGATAGATGGTTAATCTATACTGCCTTTTGAGTAGCCATATGAGGCTTTATTTTGCACGACATTGGCACGAGTGTAATTATCATTCTTCTCTTTGAAAGTAACTGGTGTAAGAATGACTGGAGGTCGTTGCTGACTTAATCTTGATTAAGACGTTTAGTGCCCAAAGAAAAGTGCATGTTTTAAATAATTTGTCAGAGTAGTCAGAGTTCAAATAAATTGGCTCCAAATGGTAATTTGGAGCCCACACGAGAATGCCAAAGCAGACAAAGAAACTTATGCTTTTGTTTTATTAGGATAGGCGGAAACTATAGAGCTTTGTTACTACGATCCTTACATATCTTTTGTTTTGTCGTGTGAGTGAGGATACCGGAGGCCCAAATACGCCCCCCCCCCCTTTCCCAATATTCCCAGTCCCCGAATCCCCAACAGTCAAAGTCAAAAACATTCATTTCAATTAGACCAGAAAGGCACGTTTTGAACGTCAACAAAAAATTAAAAGTGAAGCTATTTGCTCATTCCGAGGTGTAGATTCCAATGGAGAAGAACGAGCAAGAAACTCCAACAATCATCAAACTCCTAATCCTAAAAGGCCGGTAACGCACTTGTAATACCTCTGGTGTTCCAGGCGTCCATAGGCGACGCTGATTGCTCACCATGAGGTAAAAAAATATCTTTAGGGTCCAGTATATTTCTGCATCAGGTCATATAAGTACACCAGTTAGAACATTCCACAGTATTTCTCTAATGAGTTCAGCAAATAAATAATCACGCTTATTTTCATCTAAAGCGGCATCTACCGGGCGGCGTTTCCATACTTTTGTATACGTTTTCTAATCGTTTATTGTTTTCAGATCGTTTTACAAAAATGAAGCAGTCTGGCGGTTACTACGTCACAGTAATCGAGGACACCCGTATATCTAAACTGATTGGAGCAGCCACACTCACTATTGAACAGAAGTTCATACATAACTGCTCTGTGGTACGTCATAATAAGCTTTGTTAACTTTACAATAAGTGCTATTATTATATTATTTGCACAATGGGCCGTAAGAAGATTCGAGAGATTTATGTATGAAAGGGCTTGTCCTAAGTTAAAGCATATCTGACACGGTAGCTGCGAACAACTCTTTGTGTGATCCACAAACTGTTATTACGGGTGTGGGTGTCATGTGTATGTGAACTTGTTTGTTTGTAAACGCACTCACGACACAGGTGAAAATCTTAGTGGGAGGCAAAGTTTTTTAAAGCTTAAAATGCAGTCTCCACCGACCGAATGTAGATGAGGCTCATAGTTCAGAACTCAGACTATAACGATTAGGTTACTATTAATATTGATAAAAAGCAGTATCGTGTATTCGCCACAGAAAAAGCTCGTTGTCGTCTTTTAAAAGAATGTTTCTAAGATAAACATATATAAATAGGGTTCTCATTTGCTTGATTTTACGTGAACTGGCTACGGTCACGTTTCTATTGAGAAGCTGTTTAACATATTACGATGTTTTGGGATTCACTGCATAATACAACTGGTCGTGGACATCTGAGACGCGCGTGACACAATTCCTAAACAAGTTTTTACTTAATATTGAGAAGTTATTCTTGGAATTATAGGTATTTTGGTAATATTATTTAATTGTATGTTTTTTTCATGTGTATATATTTCTTTCAGAGGGGACGACTTGAAGATGTTGTTGTCAACGACACTTACAGAGGCAAGCAGCTGGGAAAATTGTAAGTATTTAGCATTTACCTATGTAGAATAGGACAGATTGATGAATTATACTATTTTACTCTTCGATCAACAATAGCAACTAGATAAAGGGTTACGTACAAAATCAAGCTCCAGTTCTGTCCGTGTGAATAATAATAGTAAAAAAATAACAAACAGAGAAAAATGTTTTAAAATGGTTTTAAGTTCAACCTAATAACAACCATGGCACCTAATAATAAAGTCATAAATCGTCAAAGTATTATCTAATACTTACGACCATTCGTCACATAAGACAAGAAAAGCATTTTCTTACTCCTGTCATGTAGAAATTAAAAGACATAAGTTATACAATATCTAGTTTGAATTCAACCTTAAACTAGAACAAATAAAGATAATTTTTCCGTTATTGCCTTGTGATCTATATCGTTTTGTTTTGTTTCGTTTTGCTTCTTCGAATTTTGAATTTCGCTACAAGAGGTATGTATGGAGTCGCGTTAAACACTAAAATAATTTTATTTTCGGGATCTTAGTAAACATCACTTATTTTTATTAGCGGTACGTTTTTGTGTATCATATGTTTATTTACTTTGTCATTAAAAGTCTAAGTCAAAATCATTTATTTCAGTTAGACCAGGAAGGCACTTTTGAACGTCAACATATAAATTTAAAAGTGAAGCTATTTGCTCATTCCAAGGTGTAGATTCCTATGGAGAAGAACGAGCAAGAAACTCCAAAGGTTAGGTACTCTTTTCCAATCAGATTACAATACAAATTTGTTTTACAATACAAATCGACTCCATGCATCCACTGTTCTGTTTAAACAAATGTTTGTGCGCGTGTTGGCGAGGCTTGGCCAAGGGATCGCCAACACACGCACAAACATTGGTGGCGATGGTTTATAATTGATAATTTTGTCTAATTTGATATTATTTACTAATTTAAAAGCTTAAAATATAACTTATACTTTATGTACTAATCGAAAGTAAGACACTCCGGCCGTTATACTGCTTTTTCGGTTATTATTTTTGCAACTTGCAATTACGCACTGCAGCATCGTGAGACGTGATTACGTTGGCCATGTTTGGAGCATACTAAACAAAATAAGAGCTCACTTTTCAAGTGAGCTCTTATTTGTCGAGACGATTTTCTTGCGCCGACCCGATATCTAGTTGTTATTGTTGATCGAAGATTTTACTACATTAGGGAAAGACAAATTCTTTCAATTATAATATTGTCAATAAGGTACGTCGTCGCCTAGTGATAACGACTGCAGAAATGCTTAATTTGTTAGTTAAAGTCGCAGTTTCTTTTATCAGTTACGCAGAAAATGAGACAGGATAGCACTTTTTTAAATATATTTTTTTTAAAGCAATGGTGGGTAAATATTTACAATTCAAATTGTACTTTCAACTCCCTACATTTCAATTCCAGGATCGTAGTAACAGTATCGCTGTTAGCTCAGGAGCTTGGTTGCTACAAGATGTCTTTGGACTGCAAAGACAAACTCATCAAGTTCTATGAAACTCTTGGATACAAGATGGAACCCGGAAACTCTAACGCTATGAACATGCGGTATGTTAATCCTTTATTATAATGTTTATTTGATTTATTCATTAAAAGTTGATATTATGCATGATTTTTGTTGGAATATTAATAACGAATATTATAAATGCGAAATTTTATATGTTACCCCTTCATATAAAAACGGCTGGAGAGATCGGACTATTTGCAACCGCGGGCTAGTTAAAAATATTTATTGATTTGATTTGCGAATTATTTAAAGAAGATTTTTTGATACATTTTTATAGTCTTTATTATCGTCATTTTCTGTTGCCCGTTGCTGTACTCAACTAGATAGTTCATTAGTTAAAGTAATTCTATCTTTTTATTCCAGGTTCGAGGAGCCATCTTGACAATTAGCCGCTGGGACATCCGACCTGCGCTCTAAACTGTAAGTACGTCAAGGGGCCGAGCAGACATCACGGCACATCCATACAGCACCCGTCTAACATCTGTTTACAAAGAAATGCGTCACTAATATAATCAAGATGATTTTGTGTTGTGTGTGTGTTTCTTGCACTATTAAAGTTTGTTGTACCAAGGTTGTGAATTGGTTGTCATTTACCTTCTGCAAGTTTTGTATTGACAGGTTTTATTATCTTTGAATACCTGCATAATAATGGTGATTAATATAATCTCAGATATGCACATGTAAATTATTAACCCTCATTGCGTAATCACTTAACGCACTCCTTATCACATTAGTTACGTAGTTGGTTATCGTGAAAACAGGAAATTAAAATGAGTGTGTACGCCAATGGATAACCTTGAGATAGTCGTTTGGGTGAAACAATTTGAATGCCTATTCTAAAGTTAAACAAAGAACAAAATTTAAATTCAAACCGATCACAGCGGACAATATGACATTAATGACAGCTCATCAACCAATCAGAAACGTTGGGCGAACTAGAATTCGAATAAAGATTGTTTTTTTTTTCTATTTATATTTTGTTGTTATTAAAAGCACTGTTCTTTAGCTATTTGCTTTTTTGTGTTGAATCTTGTGATTTCTGCTTGGTCGTTCGCGTATTTACAGTTTGCAGGGTCAATTCTTCTATCCATCAAAGGTTGAGGTCACTATAAATGTCAAAGTGACATGTGACATTTACATTTGATGGGGTGACCAATTGATTATGGATATCCTAGCACATAATTATATTAAAGTAATATCAAGGCGCCCATAAATGAATATTTGTTGCTACTAAGGGTCAATTTATACTAGCGACGTCGAAGTGTCTTTTCAAAACTGAACTTCAAGAAAATCAACCTTAAACTCCACAGCGTAACGCACAAATTACTTCTGGAGAATGCACGCTTACCAATCAGCGTTGTTCATGCGCAGACGTGCAAATCTTAGAAGTAATGTGTGTGTTACGTTGAGGAGTTAAGGTTGAATTTGTTACGTTCCAATTTAGTAAGACGCTTCGATTGCTGTAGTATAAATTGCCCCTTAGATTTTGCTTCTTATGTATGTAGAGTAGAAATGCTAATACACTAATATTTGTTATTATGTTGCCAAGTTAAGTTTGTAACGCTAGATTTATGCTTAAAAACTTGTCAGCTCCGCCATTTTATACAAAGGAGGATACTGGCTGAGTTTTTTATTACATATTATTATAATTTTTTTTATAAGCTTCGAAAATATGTACTTAAAATATAAAGTAAGTATATAAGAGATTATATTTGTAACTAACATGTATTGTGTTAAAAATTGCATCATTAAAACATTTTTTTTTGGCTTATGTTTTTGTTTTATTTCATTTTGTCGTAATGAAGTAAGTAGTAATAGTAAGCGGGTTAAAGTAAACACATAGTTGTCATTTTTACATGTTTTATTTACAGAAGTGTAAATGTAGCGGATAGATTAAGATTTTCGTTTAACACACATTCAAATAGAATATATCATTTTGTATGTTTTTTCGTCTATTGCAGCCTCAGTAGCAAATACTTCACTAAATAACTGTTCTCAATATATTTCAAATCTCTATAACGTCACCAGTAAAAATACTGGTCTAATACGTCCCTAAGATCAACATTCTTCATAATAATCCATTTTTCATTATTAAAAACTAATTTATGTAGAAGCTATGTCTATGTCTTACGTCAAATGATCCGGAATATTCTCGAATAGCAAAAATTTGAATTTAAAATATGAATTGAGATAAAGATACAGAGATGTTTAGCTGCGGAGAAGTATTACTTTGAAAATATATAATGTAGGTATGTATATAAATTCTTGATAATATACTTTGGTGCATGTCTTTTTTAAAGGCAACTGTGCAAGAGTAAAATGGAATGAACATTTTCTATAACTATTGTAATGAATCTATCGAGTATCATATATCATTTTTGGGGTATTTCAAAAGATGTATATAACTTCGGTGAACAACTGCATTACACTCGACAAAAATACATAAATAAGTACATTTATAACGCCAAATACAATACATAAAATCCATAGACCAGTTCAGTCTGATATTTCATACATTATAATAATTAATATTATATACATAATATTTTATATAATTTCCACTGATTTTTTCAACCCAGATTATGTATACAAGGAATAAATAAGATTTTCAGTCAGTCGTTTAAAGTAAAATTTGACCTATGTTGTAACATTGGACCACACCCTGTATACACTTGTCATTTTCAGTTTTATTGCACTCCCCTCTAGAAAAGTGACATAAACATTAGTTGAATCGAGTGAAAAGTCTATGTATTGCTTAATTTGTGTCAATTTCATACATTGATTTTTCTATATTCAGCTATGTCTATGCCATTCTCATATCTCTTGTCATAGTAAAATGCATGTATTTTAGTATCGAAACATAAACACGTACTTTTTGTCTACCTCTCTATGGTACCACTAGTTAAATGTAACATTGTTTTGTAAATTTTATGTAATACTGAACCTGTAGGTAACTATTCCGTATATAAATTATCACGCCCTGTTTATACATTTGTCATTTTATGTCTTATATTGCACTTCCCTTTAGACAAATAGCATAAAGACAAGTCTTCCAAAAATAACAAATTCAACCTTAACTCAACAACGTAACGTACACATTACTTCAGCACGTGCGCATGCGCACTAATCAGCGTTGTTCAATCCCATACATTTGAATTTTCTATTTAATCGGCTAGAGTCTATGCCATTTGCCTCTAATCACTTGTCATAATAAAATGCATGTATTCAAATAGGGGGAATGGTGAGTTTATATACGCATGGTTCAATGTCACATAGATTAGCCCGTTTTCATCTCAAAGTAGATATACTCCGCATGTAATTATGCCACGCCCTGTATACACTTGTCATATTAAGTTTTATTGCACTCCCCTCATGAAAAATGACACTTTAGTCGGACACAAAAGTCAATGTATTGTTTGACATAATTTTTGACAGTGTCAATCCCATACATAGATTTTTCTGTCTTATGTCTATGCCATTTTCATATTATTTGTCAAAGTAAAATGCGTGTAATTTATTAAAGCATAGTGGGGGTAAACGGGTAAAGGAATCACCTGATGGTAAGCGATTAACGCCGACTTAAACAAGTCCTACTTACCGACATGGGAGAAACACGTGAGTTTATGTTTTGCCTGGTCCAATGTTACATTAATTCGTCAATTTTTTACCTCAAACAATTGTACTGTTGAACCTGTATCCATTCCGCATATAAATTATCTGGTTATTGAAAATGTAGCCTTAATACTATGTAAATAGCGTTTACTATTCGTACGAGCGGTTTCAGGAGTTTCGTATACTTGAAATTGATCGGACAATAATCCTTTTTTGGTGTTGTCTTGATAATAAATCGTTATAGTTTCAAACATAATGCCCAACGAGATAGTTTGGATGCAGTAACACACAGGTGTAATTACAATATCTATGAATGAATGTGCCCAAAATATCCCCATAGGCATTATAATGTTTCCAAAGGAACTCAAATAATATTAAATGTGTTTGGCCACAATTTCAAGTATCGTCTAAACCAATATTTAAGCGGACCCATCCACACAAGAACTTACATCAAATTGACACCCTCATTTGCCGATTGCACAAGTCCCATAATCACCACAGGAAAAAAAGCATTTTTTTTCATACATCTGTACATTTATTTGAATATCATACGCAATTACAAGCTAGAGGAAAACATGGCAATCGATTATGTATCAACGACCCCCTTACAGCCACGTGGTTACAACAGGACAACTAGAGGTGCACACACAATATCGATTAAAATTATCGGCTATCGATTTAACCACGCGACTATATGAAGTCGCTAAAATTCAATATCATATCTCGATATAATTAAAAAATCACCACTCCAGGTCAAAAATTTCACGTTCAGCGGTACGAGTCTCGCCTAAGAACAATTTTGAAAATATTATTTAATGCCTTAATGGCGTCTAGTCTCACTTGAGCGCTCTATATTTGGTGCATATCAATTTACAATACTTGTTCCCTAATATCGACCAATCAGAACACTATGATGACGTCACTGACTCACAATCTTTTGAATGGATTTGTTTTAAGGCTGTGCCCACACCTAGCGATCTACGGGCAGTTATATCATACCAGATTTTGTATTGTTACGAACTAATTATTTATTAGTGCGTTAGGAAACTGTAGATGAGTCATAAGCTGGGTATATCGCGAGGGTCGTTGCACTTGACATGATAAATATGATTAGACATTATTATTTTATATTTTAATGCCCATAAAAGAGTGTTTATTACATCTCAATCTTTGTCGCAGTCCCTTCGCTGTATAAAACCGTCGCCAAACTCCTGTTTGATAATTTGAACACTAGAATACTATAATGCAGTTTCAAATAAATAACGCAAAATTAAACCTAGAAAATGAACTAACGAATTAAAGTTTTAAAATAAGATCTGTAATTTATAGGAGTTTGTGTCAAGTTTATTCAAATATCAAAATTCGAAATCGTTCAAATTGAAAATATCGAGTCACTCGATTAATTGTTTTTGAATGGACATTTTATACCAAGATTCGATCGAGTCCAATCAAATTTTACCAAGAATGTCTGAAGATAGGAGAGGCAACTTTAAGAACTAGTACTATAATTTGACGCAAAGATATATAATACTCATAGCTTACTTTGCCTGATACCGAGATATCTCGCGTTGCCATCCCTATGTCAAGACATATAAGTAAAAAGGCTAATTAAATGCCTTCCACGTCACTGGTTTCGATTTAAGCTGGGGTTACCAGCAATCCAGTTTCACACACAAGACGACGTTCAAAAATGATTTCAAAATTGATTTAAAATTTAGATTTGGAATTCACCGTGTTTGTCCGTTAAAATGGCGGAGGCGCGGTGGTGATCTTAGTGCCCAGTTTCATAGGTCCTTGACCCCGAGCCGAACGACGAGCTTCCATCTCCCTCTGTCTTTGAAGTTTCCTCTCCTCTCTCTTTCTTCGCATCTCGTCCATTTTTGAGGCGTTATTTTCTGTCAAAAAACAAAATTACATTACATAAACAACTTTTTGGTACGCTTTAAAAGGAGTAAAAAATGGAATGCAATAAGGCTATCACTATCTTCTTTTAAATACTTCCTAAAGCTGTAAAAGCCTTGTATAAACTAACTATAAAAACATAAAACATAGCTTCGATGCACGACTAATATAAACGAAGCTCAAATGCGATCAATTTACACGTAAATACCAATATACAGCGACATCTTTGCCTTGTCTGCAACCCATCACTACTTGATACTTCACCAGGTCCTTCCTAAGACAAGGAGTTAAGGCAAATCAACTTGGGAAGATTGTCTTATAGGAATGGAGCGGTTGGAATCAATTCTAGCGATTTGCAAAGCTATATTTACATGAATTCTTCAATGGAAAATGTTTGCTATAGTAAAATCGTTCTTATAACACGAATTTTATATTAGATCTAATATTTTTCTAGAATGGCTGTGTAAAAATTCGACTCGGTGATAAAGATTGAATATGATTCGTACATTTGTACAGTTTTCAAGTACCTAAACCAAATGAATGAGGCCGTGAAAAATGTAATGGTAGTAGTTTGCTCTCGTTTTAATCACAAGTATTTAATGGGATGAGCATCGACGAAGCATCTTAAGTACTAAGTAATTTGCTAATTGTTTAGTATCAGGCCAGGCGACTATAACATCAGAGGTGCTACAGTGCTGCAAATGTATTGCAGGCTTTTTAATTTTTTCATATTGGGTTCTAGCACAATATTACCCAACTGTAAATGCATTGAAGCAAACAATATTCACACTTATATAGTAAACATGGATAATAATATTACCGTCAGCATTTTCCTCGATGGGTTCGAACTCGCTGTCCTCCCATCCGCCGAGGGAGTCGTTACTGTTCTGATGCGCAGTGGGTCTGTGTTCCAAGCGTCCACCGCGGACGTATGTCGCGTTAGCATTGTTGAAGATAGGGTCCGTCCATTGAGAATTGTTCCAAGTTTCTGAAGGGCTCGCCAATTCTGCTTCTGCACACTGTTTTGGAAAAATTTATATTAGTAGAAGTATTAAACAATACCTAAAAAATTCATATCACTTTGCCAATCTCTATTTATTAAATGTTTTGATGGGTTTTTAAAATCTACAAGAAATAAGTATATTTTAATAAACAAAGAACTTTGTAATACACTTTGTGCACGTGGTTGAACTTGAGTATTTAATTATTTCATTAAAAATATCATTGTCAAATAATAGAAAACTTTATAAATATTCGACATAGTTTTCATTTACAAGACCGGCAACATTTTATAAAAATCATAGTAAATACATACAGGCTGTTCTTGTAGCTCGCCCCATTCCTCGTTGTCCCAGTCGTCCTCACAGAGAGCAGCAAGCGCAGGCGTCGCTTGCGCACTGCCACTGCTCGGCGGGGACTTTGCGCTTGCGCCGGTACCTACAAGAGTATGCATATACTTGACATAATTACAGAGTAAAATTAACCACAATATCTTCTTGTCATGGTGTAAGAAAAACAATACAATTTCTTATACAATAGTTCTCAGTTAACAAAGCGTTATTAGAACAAGCTCTTGGTGAAATAAAATTGGACTAGTGTTACTAAGGAGTATGGATACCAACAATTACCCATTAAGATTTTCTTTAGGTTCTTGAGTACCCATATTTTATTAATAGCCACTTAGGTTAGTGTAAAACAACTAATAATAATAATAATGCTCCTTCACGTACACAATTGAACAAAAAAACAGTAAACTGAAGAATTTATGATCCGTGAAATTGTATAGCGATGGACATCAAATAACATTACTTTTTATTGGTTTCAGATTGCCATCCCAAAGCTGTGAATATCAAGAAACTCAGTGATAGTCAATTCAAGATTATTTCAGTATAATGCATTCAATATTATTTTAAGTTATTTGTACAATGCAAAAATGTACTAGAGATTAGATTATAGTTCAGTTCTCATAGGAAGCGTAGTGTAACCATTTTGCGCAGTACGAGTCTGTTTAAAGTAATCGAAACGAAACCGCGTTGGGCGCTCTTATTGGTTGGTTCATTGGAGCCGGCCAACCAGCGCTGAACGTGTATTCGTTTCGATTACTTTACACGTAAAACAAACTCGTACTGAACCCTCTGTAACTTATAATTCTCGAAGTGAATCGCGGTCCGTCATGTCATTGGTTGTGAGAATTTCTCGACTAATGACGGGCGAAAATGCGATCGAGCTTACTTCCGAAGTTCAAATTGACAGTTGTAGAATACCTAGCAGTTTCTGGTTGTTTTGTAAGCATTCAATAATGAGTTGAGCTTATGTCAAGTATGTCAAAATACCCTTCTCATGTGAAACATACTTTAAGAGGTTATTCATATTGTGAGGTTATTTTCCACAAATAAAAAGTATTATAAAACATAATTATTAAATAGTGTGATTCTTCTTAGAATTTTAAATAAAGTTGTCTTGTACTTAAAGGTCTAACTTATCCAGCTATAACTAGTAGTTTTTACATCTTGTTATTATTCTAATATACTACTCATATTATTGTCTGTGATTAATAAAATAAAAAGATTATCAAAATATAGTTTGCATTTTGAAATCAACTATGTACTTAACTGCTTTTGAACCGCTTATTTTCTGAGACGTGAGACCGCGTTCGGCGTTCTGATTGGCCAGCTCTAATGAACCAACCAATCAGAGTGTGGAACGCGGTCCTGTTTCGATTACTTTAAACGTAAAACACACTCGTACTAAGGCCTCAGGTCAAAAGTAAAGTATTCGATTGAGTCATTTACTAACAAATGTCTCGAGGTTGATCTCTAATTCTCGCACAATCCAAACAACAAACTATGTAACTAGAGAATTGTATTGTGAACCTGATTGAAAAAGAGTAACCTATAGACTTTTTTGCTCGTTCTTCTCCATAGGAATCTACACCTTGGATTGAGCAAATAGCTTCACTTTTAATTATTTTGTTGACGTCCAAAAGTGCCTTTCTGGTCTAATTGAAATAAATGATTTTGACTTTGACTTTGAATGGCTATTTGCACTAACCACCCCTAAACTATCTCTTAAGTAAGTGTTATTTAACGTGAGGAAGCACCAAACCTAATCCCTTACTTGTACTGTTAGGTGTTACTTATAGTGTGGGTGGACAACCAAAATGTTGTTAAGTGTTACCTATATAGCATAAAGTCCTTAAAATTTAAGGTCGATAAAAACGGGTGAAAAACAGTGAATTTTTAAGTGTATACGTACTTGAGTTTAGTTCATTTCACATACCTGCGCTAGAGTCGATCTCGCCCCAAGCCGCCATGTCCCAATGATCTGGATCATAGTCGGAAGCCGACTCACTGTGCTCCAGTGACGTCATCGAGGTCACTGACGATGTAGTTGTTGACATACTGCTCGATGACGGTTGCTCTGCAAATTATGACTTTATTGTAAACTAAGTAATTAGTTCAAAATTGATTGTGGCTCCAAATATTTTAGATTTATTCGCTATAAGAATTATGACTGTAAGTTTTTACTTTGGTCAAGATGTTCACTTAATTGCTTATATTTGTTTGAAACTAAATATTTTGAAAAGTGGAAATTGAACATTCTATGTATGTATGTATTTCATTGTATGTATATGAATGAAACTGTACGATTTGATTACATTATCTAGTAATTAAAAAGTGTATGTTTATGGTTGTTTAGGTAACATATCATAAAATTGTAAATTATCGAACTTAGAGAGCTGTATCCAAGTTGTAAATTACCACATTTCATAATGAGTATTTTACCGTTTTCATAGGCATAAGCTTCAGTTGCGATTCAGACTGGCTTAAGACCATTTTAGTAGTAAGAAACACAAAATTTTGTGACCTTCTCTTTATTATGTTAAAAACCAAGACTTCATTGTTATTTTGTTATTAGCTACTCCAGCTCAATTTCATCCACTGCTCGGTTTCTATTAGTCATAGAGTGTAGTTTTATAGCCTGAAGGCTTCCTCAATAGGGTTATAGGGTTTTATAGTATTAACCAACAAAAACATCCATAAAAAAAAAACAATCAGCTAAACATACAACCTCCTCCTTTTTTTGAAGTCGCTATAATACGTTTTATGGACTATAAATATGTTTTGAAATCTTACCGAGTGATCCAGGCTTGGACAGAACGGACTTGGGGTGAGAGACTCGCGCCGTGTCGGAGTGCGAGCGGTAGAACTTGGCTGTGACGGCGGTGACGGCCCAGCCGGCCCACGTCGCCGCAGCGTTACTCAGCGAGGGAGTCGCCGTGTGGACGTCCGCTTCTGTAGCAAATAAGTGAAAAGGGATTTATGACATTTTTTTCTAAAAACAACTTTAGAAACAGTTGACTTTTCGACTATCGGACGACGGATCACCTGATAGTAATTAATCGGCGCCGTTCATGGACGCCCAAAACACCAGAGGCTTAACAAGTGCATTACCGCCCTTTTGGGGATTAGGAATTTCAAGATTGGTTAGGATTCGGGGATCATCTTGACAACGATAACAAAAATATTAGAATCAAATACAGAATTAAAGGAGATTCAAATACCGTTGTATTGAGAAACCGTTTCTTGAAGTTGGTTTAATAAAGAAGATAACATGTCTTACCCATTCCCTCCTTCAAACTGGGGTCCTCAGAGACTTTTTCTAATTTGCCGAGAAATCCTTTTATAGTTCTAAAAGCTGCATCGCGAACCTAGAACGAGAAGTATAATATGTATATTATTAGGTAACTCCGTCCCGCACGTATTTTGAAAACGATCCCACAGCAATTTTGTATGCATTGTTACTTGTTAACAAAATAGCTATGAAATCAATGATTATGTTTTCAGCTCACTCACGTAACTGTTTAACGAGGAACTCAACTAGACCGCATCGCCGCAGACCCGAGCAGCCAGTAGCAACGCGACAGTCGCCACGTCGTGGGTCGCGGAATGCTGCTCATGAATATGAGCCTCTAGCATAGCTTGAAACTAATCGAGTTCTTCGTCAAACAGTTACGTGAGTAAGCCGAAAACATAATAATGAATTTATTACGTCTCACGAAAGTTATAATATAGACATAGCTATAAATTAATCCTTTTATTTAAAAAACTGTACAACTCACTTGTTTCTCCGGGTCGTTAGTCAGTGGGCATAAAGCAGGCAGTACTCTGTTGGCGACCTCAGCCAGTAAGAAGTATTGTTGCGTCGCCGCCAGCGCCAGTACGCCCGCTTGGCGAGCCGGCGGGAAGTTGTCGCGGGTAGCGCGCACAAACGCTGACACTAGGACCTTCTGGCGAATCTGTGGGTGCAAGTGCTGAGCTATCTTGCCGAGGCAGACTGTTGTGTTGGTTCTGGAAAAAAAAAAGGTTGTATCGAAAAGTTTTAAGGATATTGTAAATTGGGCGTCGACGTCGTAAATGAATGCTTGTATACGAATAATTTTCAATAAAACGAATTGATGTAGATCACAGTACCTAAGTAATTTTGGGGTTTAGGTAAAAACCTGTAAAAGATCGACGCACTAAAGCTCGATTTTGCCAGCTAGACAGCTATACACAAAACTGCGATGCGATGTGAATTCGAAACGCAAAAAAAAATACGATGCTAATTTCTGCGTACGATGCGATTACGTGCGACGAAGGCGTCTACCATGGTGACCATTTCTTCGACGACCGTCAACCGTACTAAACGTATTTTAAATTGAAAACTAGGTCGTGACATTGACTGTTTAAAATTAGTGTGCACTTTTCTTATTACTTAGGAGATACAGAAAAAGAAACAAAGAAAATGTTGGGAAGATAAGATTTTGATGTGCGATGCGAATTATTTCGCAAGTTCTTGCGATGCGATGAGTAGAGGGAGCTCGCACATTTTTGTGATGCGACGTCACATCGCAGTTTTGTGAACGAGCCCTTAGACCAGGCGGACTTTGGGCCTGTTTTGCATTTAGGTGGTGCGAAAAACTCTCGTGTGACTTGGTTATTTATATTTTACAATTGCATGAATATTTATTACAAATTTTTTTCTAAGACAAACTCACAGTCTCCACATAACACAGAACTATTTAAATTAATACTAAAAGTTCAGAAAGGTACAAGAAATAAAAAACCTTTTATATTAAATACAAAATAGATATTAAATAAATTATTATGTTTTCGACGTGAGTAATCACGTAATAATTTGACGAGGAACTCGACTAGTTTCAAGCCATGCTAGAGGCTCATATTCATGAGCAGCATTTCGCGACCCGCGACGCGGCGACTGTCGCTCTGCTACTGTCGCCATAGTATGAGCCTCTAGCATGGCTTGAAACTATTTGAATTCCTCGTCAAATTATTATGTGAGTAAGCCGAAAACATAATAATTTATTAAGTATGTCTCACGAAAGTTACAATACAAATAAAATAGATATTCACTCACCGTATACCGCCCTGGTCATCCTTAGCCTGTAACCTAGCGAAGTGTCGCAGGACCTCCACGTTTAGGTTATTGTAGTTAAGCTTAGAGGACAGGTGGACGATGGACTTGACTGTCTGCTCCCTGATTATAGGGTTCGTGTCGAGGAACCCGTGCACCACCTGCGGGAATATCTGGTCGTTCACCTGCAACACAATGGGGAATGTTAGAAACTGATAAGTATCATACATTTTATTACTTTTTGGTATTTTTATGGGGGGATAACAAGAAGAATTATCTCTTGATTACTAGTGATCAGCGACGTCAATAGTGTAGTGGAATGGAAAATTTTATAATGTCTGACTAAATATAGGACGTGCACTATAATACTTTCTGGAATACAAAACTTCGACGATAGATAGTTTCATTAATATCGCGTGAAATTCCTTGTGACTACACAAAATATTTAAATAGCTAGACCCATTGAAAAACTTCTCTCAAAGAAGAAACTATTTCAGTACAGAGTGGTAAAATGTACATACAATTTCATGTAGCCATGTTTGTTGCGTAACAATGCCGGTATTGCGTTCACATCCGCGCTGAGATATGGCACGCAAACACTTGTTTACCAAACTCAAACGATAACACACAACAACACGTACTTTTTAGAATTGACTTTATGACATTTCAATTCAAAATACTAGAGACACAAGTAAAAAAATGACTGCCTCGTTGGCCGAGTGGTTGCCAGTGTGACTGCCGGGCAAGGGGTCTCGGGTTCGATTCCCGGGTCAGGCAAAGTATTACTGGATTTTAAAAAATCTCATTAGTAGCACGGGGTCTGGAATTGCGCCCGGTATATGGCAATAGGCTCAACCCCTATTACATGGGACTCATAACATCATAACATAAATAGTGAAAAGTGGTTGTTACATTGTACAGTGGCATAATGTGCACCTCTGCCTACCCTAAAAGGCGTGATGTTATGTTATATTATGTTATAGACAAAACATACCGTAGAGTTCTGGAGATGCATGATGAACTGGTCCAGCTGCTGCAGCAGTCGAGACCGCGTCGTCCTGTCGTTGGAGGCAAACAGCTTGATGACGCACGGCACTATTTGCTTCTGGTACTCGGCATCGTCTAGCAGTTTACCCAGCTGGAACAAGTAACCGTAACATTATGCCTTTAACCCCAAAGAAGGTAGAATAACAAATTTGGAAATAGTCAACACATGTAATAAAGAGTGATTACACGGAGTACAGTTTAGGATGGCGTGCAACTTTAAATAATACTGAAACAGAGAAACCCAATAATAATAATCCAAACCAACTTTAAAAAAAAGGAGGAGGTTCTCAATTCGACTGTATTTTTTTTTATGTTGGACCGATTTCAAAAATTCTTTTTATTCCAGTGAATCCTTGCCGCTCAACCTTAATGGCAATCTTAAAAAGTATAGAAAAGAAAGTTATTCTTAGAGTAATCTATAACATGTATTCAGTGCTTAGAATTACTTATATGATTTTATTTTCTACATTTAAAAAAATAAGACGATTGCACATCATTCTACGTTACACAAATATACACCATATACATGAATTTGTACAGATGTTCCAGTGCTTGTTCTAAATAACTAAGTTCATTTTAAGAACATTTATTTACTGTCTGTATAATAAAATTATTACAGTTTATAAAAATGACTGCCTCCTTGGCCGGGTTGTCGCAAGTGCGACTGCCGGGCAAGGGGCCTCGGGTTCGATTCCTGGGTAGGAGAGCACATCTGGGTTTAAAAAAAAATCTCAGTAGTAGCACGAAGTCTGGAAATGTGCCTGGTATATGGTAATAGGCTCACCACTTTTACATGGGCTCATTACATAAATAGTGAAAAGTGGGTGTCACATTGTACAGTGGCATTAAGTGATGTAATGTAGTAAAGTGCAGTAACATGAAGTATGTGTGTAAAAAAATTAATAGTGTTTGCATATGCATAGTGCAACCAGGAGCTTCAGTTAGACTAAGGGATACCTGTTAATAAATGTTATCAGATTTCAATTTCCAAATAGCAGGAGTAAAACATAATTTAGGTAAAATAACTAGAGATAATCATAATAGAATTCTGGAAATAACAAGTGTGATAGACAAGAAAATGTAGTAAGTAGTTCAGTAAAACAAATATGTTCTGTTTACCTTAAACATGGGTGCTAAGACAAAAGACCCAGCATCTCCATAGTGGAATGCTGTCATCAACTGCGGCAGAATCTTGTGAACACACACAGCTTCAGGGAAACCGTCTAGATGGGAGCTGAGAGTGGAGAAAAACTTCCCTTTCTCCGCCTTATCCTTGATCTGAATCTCTTCCAGAAACAGCATAGAATCTATCAAATCATTTTTGAAGTAGCCTCCTATTTTCCTACACCTGAAATATATTTTATTTGTTAATTTTTGTATGTATAACTTAAAAGGTTCTTTTTATAGATAGATATGTAAAGAATAAACAATTTTATTAGACTTTTTAATAAAATCCTGAAGGAATCATAACAGTGGATTTTACTGGTTTAAGTGAGGGTATTTGTAAAAAACTACATTCCATTTTATAAATAATTAATGTTCATTGAATTTAAGACTAATTAAAAATGAAATCAGCTATTATTAGGGCTTACAAGCTATTATTACTGAAAATATTTAAGTTACAATATTCGTTTTTCAATCTTTTATTATTGTCGTGTCGTGCTGGCCCGAAGGTCAAGACGCCCGCTTCTCATGCATGAGGTGCATGCATTTAAATTATTTTGACACCATTGACAAACGAAAAACATCGTGAGGAAACCTGGACTTTAACCTTATACGTTTGAAATTGCCAGCCTCCATGAGCAAGAATAGTGATTAATGCTCAAACCTGCATGTGAGAAGACTGACTGACAGACTATTATTTATTTTGTATTTGTTGACGTTTCAAAAGCACCAAACTATGGTTTAATTGAAATAAATGCTTTGACTTTGACTTTGACTTTGAAGAGGCTTTGCTCAGCAGTGGGCACTTATAGACTGTTGATGTAATCTTTTATTGAAGCAACTTAATAAACTATATGGAACATAGGTCATGTATTAACCCAATCTATGCCTAAACATGCCGCGGAGAACCTAACGTGTTACCGGGGCTCCGGCTCGAAGTGCATGAGTAGGAACACGGTGGTTTTTAGTCAGTAAGACTCTGACACACCCTCCCGCCTCACACGGGCGGGAGAAGTCATTCGATGATTTTCCCCTCTAAAAAAATGCCTAAACATATACTTAGGTCTAGGGGGGACACAATTCATTTATAGCCATATCCCATATAGGTGGTTCTTCTTACCTGGTTATAATGTCAGCTGGATTTGGTCTAGATGCGGGGTTGGCACTGACCAGTTCACAGTATAAAGTGCATAGTTGCTTAGGAATGTTGTCAGTGGTCTTCAGTGCCGGCTGGTTCTTTAGAGGACCGTTATATGCCTCCCATATTAGGCATCCTAAGCCCCACATGTCTGAAGAGCTTTTTAGAAAAGAATATGGAGTTTAGATATGTTATTATGGAGATTAGATAATGTAAAGTCTAGTGTTTCATGTTGTTGATATGTCAGTTTGATCAGCTAATTAGTTAAAAATTATTAGTGTAGTTCTAAAATGTATTTTAATTGAGTGTTTATTAAAATTATGATTGCATTTTGTTTACCAGTTCATCTTTTACATTCATAGGATAATTACATAACTAATTATAGTGATTGGAAGTTTAACTGTCTACCCTCAAAACAAAAATAAAAAATGATGAATTTATTTGTTGATTGTAAAGTTTTTAATTTGTGGATGTGTAAATTGAATTTTAATCCAGAATTTAGGTCATAGTTGAAATATCATTCTAATTAGGTCAATGTTAAGTTCTTATCTGAAAAAACTCCAATACTAACCATTTGGTAACTGTTTTTAATTTAGCAGGATCCTTCTTTTCTGGAGGGTCATAAATTTCAAGAGCTGGCAATATTTTTATAGGTATAGGGGTGCTAGTTTCTGCACCTCCTTGAGCCGAGAGGAACTCAAAACCCCCGAGTTTCCATTCCCCCGCCAAGGTAACAAAGACTGAGTATAGACACACATTATTGTGCCTCATGTTACCATCATTATTTAAAAATGATAATGCTCTCTGTAACAAGATTGCTAGATTAATATCACATCTGAAATTCTAATAAAATGACTCATAATTTCAAGTGGCCAATCATAAACAAGCATCAATTTAGTGCCAGTGCTTTTATATCAACTTTTTATTGATGATGCAATCAAAGAAATTAGCCAACAGTAGTAACCTTTTAAATGCTTTGTACTATAATGACTACAAATACTTACAGTGATTTGAAAAATACCCCACGAAAGAAATAATTCCTTCTGAGGACCCTCAAGTTTTAAATCTTCTATGTGCGTGGCTAGAGGATCTACATACTCAGTAGCTACATATAAAAATTTTTCAGTTTCACAGCTATCTAAATAATGTAAAAGGCTAGGGTGTCTCATAGTCTTTAGTTTCTTTAGGGAGGCCTTAGCTATGTCGAATAGTGTTTCAGAATGCTTCTGAACATCGAATAAAAATATTGATACTTCATCTTGCGTCCCTCTCTTCTTGCCTTTGTGTAAAGTCCACACACTTCTATCTTCTAATCCAGGCACAGGATCTCCTACTTCGTAAGGAAAGTCTTTCGTAGGATCCCGAGAGAAAAACGACCACATTTTGAACTATTTAATTATATTTCACGACATATAAACATATTTTGCCCAACAATCCACTATACGTGGAGTGCAAACTACCATAATCTTAAAAATATTTATTAACTAATGTGGATACTATAATTACGTGTTAATTTGTAAAATAAAAATATAAATTATTTTCTATTCACTCTTCCCACAGTGGTGACAAATGCAAATCTGACAACTGACAACACACTATTACAGATAATTTATCTTTCATCTACCGTAAACCGTAAACGAACGAACGACGAACGAAAGAAGAAAGTGAAATCAAATAACTGAAATGGTTTTATTTAAATTATTGTGATATTTTTCATTATTAGAATCAGTTGATTTCTTTCCTAGCTGATTGCAAAACAAAATTGATTGCAATAGAGTAGCGTTGCAGGTTCACATTTTGAATTAGCTTGACTTTACGCATCCACTGCGATTGTCAATCCACTTGTCAAAATTATCAAAACCGAATACAAAATCAAATGAGATAGATTTAGATTCCCATTCTGTGTGGAAAAATATTGTTTTTTATTTCATTACTATTTCTATTATGTTCTATTAATAATAGTATCGAAGAAGGATAATAATTGCGATAGAATTCTGACTAAAGTGAAGTGATTTTAATTCATCATCATGTCTAAATCGGTCGCCAGATTAAAATCTATGAAGAAAGTTGCGGACAAAATTGACCATAGTTCGAAATTACGCACAAATATTCCTGCGGGTATGGCTGCAGCAGGTCCACCTTTGGGTCCTATGCTCGGCCAGGTAAATGTAGTGAACTTTTCTGATATAAGTTTTCATTTATCTAATGTTGTAATCATAACCTATAATTTTATTTACTCTAGAGAAACATCAATATAGCAGCGTTTTGCAAAGATTTCAACGAACGTACGGCCAATATAAAGCAGGGAATACCGCTCCCAACGAGGGTGAAGGTTAATGCTGATCGGTCCTATCAACTTGTTATTCACCAACCTCCTGCATCATATTTCCTGAAGCAAGCTGCTGGTATAAGCAGAGGTGCTATGGAACCTGGTAAGCATTATTATAACTACATGAATTGCATGAATTTATAGATAGAAGCTTCTAAATTATTATTTTATTACATTGGAACACAATTAAGTTTGAACATTAAATAAAAACAAATTTATTGGAGAAAAACTACAGTAGTTTTTTACTACCAATGTACTTTGAACAAATTTAGTTTCTTATTAATATTTTTGAATGTCATCGTTTTCAGTGAAAGAAATAAGTGGGAAAATAACATTCAAGCATTTATATGAGATAGCCAAAATAAAGTCGCAGGACCCACCACTGGAGTGGAAGTCATTGCAAGAGATCTGTGTCATGTTGATAGCAACTGCAAGAACCTGTGGAATAGAAATTGTCAAAGAGTTGGACCCAAAGGTATGAATTATTTTTAGAATCTAGTAACTAGTAAGTTCAATTACAGTTTGAAATCTTTTACACAATAGATTTCTGGTACTTTGAAATTGTCTAAAACAAGAGTTTACTCAAGCACTACTTTATGCCCACATAATTTAGCTGATTGCATACAAAATTAAGAAAATTGATGAAGCAGAAGCTATGGACATAATAAACCAATTAAGAATTTTATTCCTTCCTTATCCCTGAATACTATTTATATTTATGTTATATTTTTACTACATAACATATATGTTATGAGTCCCATGTAATAGGGGGTAATCTTATTGTCACATACAGTACAGGGCACATTTCCAGACTCCATGCTACTACTGAGAATTTTTGAAAAATCTAGTAAAACTTTGCCCGACTCGGTAATCGAACCCGAGAACCCTTGCCCGACAGTCAACCACTCGGCCAACGAGGCAGTCGACTTCATAATGTAGTTAATTATGTTTTTATTATGACCTTTTAAAAAACAACATTATAATTTCTGAATTAATTATCTTCAGGAATATGGTGAGTTCCTACAAGAAAGGAAAAAGGTAGTTGAAGAACAAAAGAAGTTGCTGCAAGAAAAACGAGAAGCCAAGATGTTGAGAACGGCTTAATTTGTTATTACATAATGTATATAGGTAGTAAATGTTATTTGGGAATAGTTTTAGATAATATAAGAAATCTGTTTTAAAACAGTGTTTAATTTTTAGTAGTTTTGAACCAGTTAATTTGTTATTAAAAGTACATAGTTACAACCAGTTATGTTGTTATAAACTTTGAATTGGTCAACGAAAGTAAAGAAGTTGTCAACTGCCTCCAATCAGGCAACTAGTACCAATTTTCTAATCATAAGTAAGTACCACATCACATGAACAGAAATCTTTAGAACTCGTTAATTTTCTACTATGTACTTACTTTTGAGGGAGTTAAAGGAAGGGACTAAATATAAATGAGAAATAAAACAAAATAAATTATTATTATAACCCAATTTTTATTGACCATCTAAGATAATGGATATTAGTGTATTTGATCTAACAATGAGGACAATATAGGGATGATTATATAGAAGCAAACTATCAAGAATATTGTCAAGTTAAAGTTCGTTTATTAGTTAAAAACCTCATAGTCAAAACATGGCACAGATACGTACATATTAAAAAATGATTAAGCATAGATAAAATCTGGCTACCAAAGGTAGGTATGTCATAAGACTAATATTGACTAAAGTTTGAGATTTATACAAGGAACTACATACTAAAGATCATGTACACATACATATCAGTCTACAGATATAATGAGCTATCTCTACGCGACAATGTACAGTAACAATACCCACAATTCCTACAACCATATCACTTTGTGAGCACCCATGTGACATAACTCCATAATAATTTAATTTTTCGATAATTGTAATCAGCGACCACAAACCAAGCAAGACATCTTACAAGGAACATTTACAACTACCAGTATCACATATAAGACAGTCTCTTAAGAAGTTTCCTTAGAGTACAACCAAAACTTAAAAAATAAAGTTTGAAATCTCCTTATAAAAATATGCATTAAAAATATGCCTCTTTTCCTTAAAAGTAATCAGGCGTTTATATTCTTACCTAGAAGACAGAAAAATAAATATTTTTAATGATGTAACATAATACTTGGATAAGTATAAGACGGATTATGCAAGTTTGCATGGTAACTTTTGCATAAGATAAATTCGTGGTAGCAACCTTATGTTAATAAATATTGAGTTTAGTAAACTAAAACCTATATATTTGTACTGTAAACAAAATTTTGTACTTTTGTTTGAATACTGTTCACAGACCAAAAAGTGCGTATGTCTATGTCCAAAAAGTCATTGCCAAAGGTAGAATATTACAGCCATCGAAAAAATAGAGTTATGCACATGTGATGTTGGATGTGTGCTCAGAGCGCTTCAGTTTAGGTGAGTTCGGTAACACTTCGGGTAACTCTGTCACTTTATCTATTGTGAAATCTGGCAAGTCGGATGCTTCCATGTCCTTCTGCAGAGGAATCCAAACTGTGCCGCCCAATTCAGCTTCTTTACCTCCCTGAAACACAAACAATTTTAAATAAGAACAGCGCAGATTTAGACGGAAACAATTAACTAAAACATTTCGTGTTCATTATCGATTTAAATATGCAATGAGTTTTGGAAGTCGTAAACCGCTGAAAAACTACTCTATAACGAGGCAGTAGTACAGTAGCCATTAATCTATATTTCACCACATAAATACTTCGATCGATCAAATTCAAGGTAAGAGTACTTTTATGACAATTGGCATTCACTCAATACTGGAAACTCACATGCAACGCGAGAGGTTCAAGGTCATGTTTATGATCTAGTTATAGCTTTCAAATAATACACTTCAACTGAACTTTAATTTTACTAGGATTTTCTCCTCTGTCGTAAGTGCGTTTACAAACACACCAGACACATCAAGTTCTAGAAGAAAACAGCGAAAATGCGAGATAGGGTAGTAGATATAGGGCGACCGGAGGCCTTATTACCCTTCCCCAATCCCTGAATCATCAAATTCCTAATCTCCAAAAGGACGGTAACGCACTTGTAACGCCTTTGGTGTTTCCGCGCCGATTGCTTACCATCAGGTGATGCGTCTGCTCGTTTACCGGCTTATCCCATAAAAAAATTGAACTAACCTTGATGTCAGTTTCCAGTTTGTCTCCAACCATGATGCACATGCGCGGCTCGACGTTGAGCATCTTGCAAGCTTCTAAGAAGATGTGCTGATCAGGCTTCTCCCACGGCAGGTCGCCGGATACCAGCAAGCAGTCGAAGTACTTGCGGAGTCCCAGCCGTTCAATCTTCTGCCACTGGGCCCGAGACGGCCCGTTCGTGATCAGACCGAGAAGATAATCCTCCCTGTCCACATTTATTGACCAGCCTTTTGTTATTTCTAGCTGGTTCTCATGCTGAAACTCAGCACATGATACAACAAAGCCAAATAGTCTTGCACATCACTACCGCAATGGTTCCAATGTAAACGACACTAAAAATATTGTTACGACTTCTTTAAATTTACGGTGTGTGGATCCACGCTGTAAAATCTAATTAATAGCTTTAGATATTTTTATGTCAAATAAATTAGCGAACTAGTGCAGTTTGTGCAAGAGAATTTATGAAACACATTATGAAAATTACCATATTACTTCAAGTGCAATTCATATGAATTATATAAATTCCACAGGAAATAAAAAACTTAGGAACTAGGGATATGCTATGTTGAGTTTATGTTCAAAAAAATTGATGTTAATGGTATTTTAGTAGGTGGATAAAATCTATCTCAGAATAGCATATAATTAAGGTTTAAAATACAATGGAGATATTTTAAACATCTCAATGAATTAGTTGCGAAACCAGGTAATCTAATACATAGTCAAGTCAAGTAGATTGACAAATTGGACATTTGTAAAGTACTTCTAAACTATCTCCATCGTAGAACTGAATTTTCTGAGGTAATGTGTTACCTTCGCCGTGATGTACTCCCTCATATATTTTACAAATACAATTCAAACCTAAGTGTTGCGCACGCAGCGCCCCGAGTTTACTCACTCGTGGAGCAACAACTGAACTGTTGAAAAACAAGTCATTTATTAGCAACATGCGCTCAAAGCCAGCCCAATACACTTGCAGAGGCATCTGTGAATACCAATCAATACTCATTGTGCCAAACTATTTGTTCTCAGTGATATCTATATTTACTTTCAATTTATTACCATTACTTTCTGCCAAAGGTGTCTGTACTATACCCAATATGACTATAGAATATGCCTCCACAATGTTTTGGTCCTGACTTTGTTATGATATTGAGAAATCAGTATTGCGCTGATTATTCATAGTCTTATGTGGCATGCACGATCGAATGATGGTTACGAAAACAATCTATAAATACTCGTAACTCTAGTGAATATGCGCAGTGTACAGGACGTGAACGATGGTAAACATGATACGTTTCTCTGAAAAATGATCAAATAATTTAGTACCACATAACACCATGCACAATAAAGTGATAACAGGTGATGTTGTTCTGAGATCAATCAACATTTCTATAAATAAAGCTTAAAAATCAAAATGACTAGGCTAGGTAGAGATTATGGCTATAATTATACTCATTAAATATTTACTCTTTATTATCACACTTAAACTTTATTTAAAATTAATCTTAGAACAACAGAAATATCCACTATAGACGTAGTAATTTCTTTGTTTTATATTGACACTGGCAACACCAGATGAATCACTACAAAACACCAAAGAAATTGCCAATTAAAATTATATACAAATTAAAAATAACATAAAATTACATCATGGAGAAATATTTTGTTAGTGAAATGAACCTTTTATGGTAAATATTTCTTCATAATATGTAACTGAATGAAATGTAACCAACGTACCGCAGTGTTTCCAACAGATGTATCACTTCGTTTGTTAGAGCCAAACACTGAAACCTTAATTTTACCCATTCGGTTGATATATTTTCTGAAACAGAAATAAAAAAAAGTTCAGTCACACAAACAAATAAAGGAACGGAAGTCGCTTCAGATATAACGGTATTATTTGTGGATATGTTTATTTGACTAAGAACGATTGTTGCTCGATTTTAACGCGTTGCTATGCCAAAAACTCTAAATAAAAAAGTAGCCTATGTTACTCCCCACCCTTTAAACTATCTCCACTTAAAAATCACATCAAGTCGTTGCACCGTTTTGCCGTGAAAGACGGGGATTTACAGAAACCACCACCAATCCTAGGCCTATACAAACTACCTTCCTCTAATTTTTAGCTCCTAAAAGAGTTCTTTTACAACACCGTATGCTCTTGTTTTGACAGAATGGGTGTAATTCGATACACGGCATACTTGCGCAGATTTCCAAGTGTATGTACGTACACTATGCACTTCTTATACGTATATGTAGTTCTCTCAGAATCATCGCTGCAAATACGGAGCTATCTAAACTTACTTTCCGAAGACACGTGTTTCTAGTCACGGTATGTTTATAAAACGTGTACTAATGTTTAAAAAACTTCTTGGCACCTGGCTGTCTTCGAATTCGAGACATGATACGGGGTCGTCGTTCAAATTCCCTACTACGGTATGAAATTGACAACCATCTTTCGTTAGTTTCATCAGTGTTCAGATTTCTTTCGTAACATTATTCTAATTTGTCTAGTGTCTACCTATTTGCATGTTTTTTCCAATGTTCGTGTCTCCATTGATGACGCGGAGTCTTTTACAATTATTTATAGCGGTGGCCACTGTTCGTTTTATAAATCTCTTGTGAACGCCTACGCTTAGCAACTAAATGTAACATTTTACGTGGAAGATGAAAATATATCATCACGCAATACATGTGTTAGGTGTTTACATTAATAGCAGGACTCAGTTTTGCTTATTCATTCAAAGTACCTACGTTACCTACCCACTTGCAGGTTTGTACTTTCGTTCGGACAGACGTAGAAGTGCATTCACATTCTAGGCTCCGTGCCAAGTCTAAACGTAAAAACTATTTCGCCGAAGCGTACGGACATGTCGGTAATAGACGACATACTCTCTTTGTCACTCGTTTGGCCCATAAAGCGTGATTTAGACGTTAAACAATGTAATTGTAGGCGCTTATCCTATTACTGTGTGTTGTATTATTGGGAAATGAGTCTTGCGTTACGCTAAAGGAAGTTAGATGCCAATTTACTACCTACTCATTTGTTTTTTTGTGGTAAACGTAACCTACGTATGCAAATTGAAGGCGTCTGAGTAAAAGGAGCTAAAATTATACATTCAGTTGATATGATTTCTGCAATTTATATTAGTCACGTCTGGTTAATTAGTGTTGCCTTGCAGTCTTGTATTCAACTGACATTAATCTGTCAAACACCGAGCGGTCACCAGTGACCGCGACCTATTGTTTTTTAATTGTGTCTATAAAACCGGTACTCGACGAGTTAATAGGGAATAGAGCGTGACAATGCATAACTTTATTCGCACATAAACACGACGAGTTATTTAGAAGTATTCCGTAATAATATTAGTTTTGCTTGTGCCAAATGACTAAATATAATTAAGTATGTTCATAAAACATGGAAATTTTGAGGGAAAATGTACAGTGGGCAGTACATCAAACTACTCCAATTTGTCAAGTTTTGTCATTAGATTCGACTTTATGCATACGCGATAGAGTTGAAAATCGAATAAAAGAATTTCAAAGAAAAGGGTAGATTGACAAGAATAATGTGGTTCCAAAATAAGATAGAGGCCATTATACCTATTACGCAGATATATTTACGCTTTGAATTCGACATTAGACAACCTTCCTACCTATCCTTTGTCCTGGCACGATATAAAGACGTAGTGAATTAGCAACTTGTTAATGCTAAATTACAGCAGGTGTCACGAGACATTTTTACTACTGTGTCATTGTTCTAATATAGGTATGGAGGGCAGTGTGGCCTTTCCTTGATCCTCAACTGTAAATCCGAGGAGACAGACTTAGCTGGACGTAGGTACCTAATAGCTGAGTAAATAACATCTCGTCTTTATATCTAAATAACATTGCTGTCGCTTATTCTGAAATACCGTCGAACTCAAACGATTTATTATAGCCGTATTTTTAACTACTTACTGGCCCGAAACTTTTTCTTACTTTGAACCGTTATGACTTCTGTGACATGCACCCGAGAAATGACACGGCTTCAAAACTACACCTTTTATAGATAGTAAGCAGAAGCTTCTTTATGGGGACTTACTACCCAGCAACCTACAAACAATGGCTTTAGCAGGTCTTAATAGAACAACAATGTTCTGATTTCAGGAACTTTAAAAGTATTGAAAAGAAGAATAAGTGTTATACTAACTGGCGATATGTCTATAGTTCTTTGGCAGGCAGTTACGCCAGAGGTGAGCCGGCCACTCGTCCAGAGCGTACGTGTCATCGTCAGGGCGTGCCCTAAACGCGCGGAGGAAGTTTGTCCCGCTCTCCACTGCAGCTTCTTGACTCAACCCATATTGCTGCTGCAGTATTTCTATAATCTGAACAAGATAGACAAAAGTTAGATCGGGATTAACAAAAATATTCATAAGGTATGTTCTATAATTAATGTTAGGGTTTGTTGTTCCCTGATTCCGAAAATCCTGGAGACTGTTGGTTTCCCCTTTTATTTATCTTTGTTAATAAATATGTGAAGATAGAAGTAGCCAGAATACCTACTATGTTGGATCAGCAGTCTAGGGAAGCTAATACTTACTTTTGAATACAAGTCAACCACTTCCACTTCGGGATCCATCTTGCAGGTAACTACTTTTTTAAAGCTAAAAGGTATGGTCGTACTAGTTAGTACACGTCTCTGTACCAGTATTGAAATCACTAGAAACTGGAATGAATAACAGTCTAAAAGGCATTTTCTAAAGTAATCTAAGCTATTATTAATTTATCTCTTTGTAGGCGAGTAGGTCGACCTGAGAAGTATAAATAAGTCGCGTGTTCAGAACCAATAGGTATTTATAATACCAATACTTATATTGGAACCTATTTATCGTGGTAACAACTATTTATAAGTACCGATTTGTTGATAGAAATGTACTGAGCCCGAAAAGTTTTATCCTTTAGGTATTCTACATAAGTACTATTACGACAGCTACTCTTTCATTTCAGGAAGCTTCCAAAGAGATTCGTGGCATTTGGAAACGCATGTACAAAGCAGTTTATAACTTAGTTACTAACACAAATTCAACACAGATTAGTTACTTATACCTATAAAACTTTTTACAGGAATCGAACCCGTGGCAGACATCGTAGTAATTGGCGTTCCTTAGTCTCTGCCCATGAGGGTATGGGGGACAGGCGTGAAGTTATGTATGTCGAACCCGTGGCACAATAGGGAAATACAAATCCTCTCTTTCTAATCGGAACCTATCTAGTAAAGTGTTTTGTGTATCTTGTGTTTGTGTTCTAGATTTTAAAGAGATTTTCGATTTCTTTTTCAGCGTTTGGAAAACATTATTATTATTCCTACTTCATTAATAGATCAACTCTTATTTTCAGACATCTTGTAAACAATTTCCTATAAAACATGTTTTTATTTTCCCCTCCAACATAATCATTTGACCTCATTCCAGAAAAAATCACTGGAAGCTGCTTAAGGTACACAACTGGGGAAAATAAATAACAAGCTATATTTGTTATCATGTTGCATCACATTAAGGTCGAAAATTCTTTGAAAAGGGCTTGTTCTATAGACATCTTATATTTACTTAATTAACAAAACTCTGCTATGCCATATGCCAATATAGAATGCAGAACTAACATTTTATAGAAGTTTTAGTATTAGTGTCTACAACATACGTTAGATATTAGCATATCTTATAACTTAACGGAGCAAGATATTAAATTTCCTGTGATACAGCAGTACTAAACAAGATGTTGCATGGCATTTGTATCTAAGGAAGTGTCGGCTCCGGGAATAGCCGTGGGGTCAACGTTCCCGGCGTAGCGTCGTTCACTCACCTGTCTTTTGGCAGCTGGCACAGTGTGTGTGAAAACTGATACTGTTTCGTTAATGAGTTATAATCACCCTGTGTATCGCCTCACCAAGATAATATCAAACATTCTAACTAAGACTGATCAAAAGAAAAGTGTTCTAGTTTCAATTGTAAAATGTTTCTAATGATTTTTGTGTCCTTAATTTTTATTCTCAGTGTCAGAGTTTCTAGCAAATTGTTTGTGTAAGATGTTAAATGAAAACGATAATTATATTAAAAACTTTATTGACAACCAAACAGTATTATTGTTATAAAAAATGTAAGCAGCCATTCAAATTATATTACAGTCTTCAAAACTAATTATATTTTATGTACAGTAAGTTTTTGAGAACAATATAATCTGAATTGTTAGACTTTAAAATAATTATGAGTAAGTATAAAAAACAGTTTAAGTACTTTGTTGTAAAAATGTAGTGTATTGTTTGTTTATAAGTTTGCATTATACAAAAATAAGTAGGTATTGTACCTACCCATTACTTTAAATAACAATTTAATCTCCAAACAATTTCTTGCCTAATTCCATTAACCTGTGGTTCCTGCACATCTTTAGTGCTCCGGCCTTCTTCAACACTGGGATAACACTTTCATTGGAATCTACTAGTCTGCACAGGAAATCTTCAAATGCTGACTTCACATTAGGTTGCAGAGTACCAACTTTAACTTTAGCCAGCATCTCAGCAATGCCCTGGGCCCATCCACTCTCTATGGCAAACTCTGATATCCATGGCACCATTGTGAGCACTCCACTCATAGTTTGCATGCCCAAGAACCATAGGTCAGCTATTTCATTCCAGTGTTCTTTATAACTCATTGATACAACAAGTGCACTGGGGTCATTAGACTCATCAATGTTGTAAGCATCCCATAGGAATCTGATGGTGGACTGGATATATCTGCATATAGAGAAGTCATTCTTCTTCACTTTACTGGCTTGTTGTTTCAGTAAGAGTAAGCCCAGCACTGCCAGATGTCCATGGAGAACTAAGTTTTCAGGGATATCCTTGAGTTCAGGCAAGTCATTGAAGATGAACTTAAGTAGTGTGTTGAACAACATACTAGTTTCAACAACTTTTGGTGCCAGCACTGTAAGGTTCATGAAGATATTGCATAGACTGACCATGGCCGCTCTAGAGTCCTTCATATCTTCTAATACTTGGGGATCAAGCTCACGAGGAGGTTGGTTCAGGACTTTTAGTCTTTCAGATCTAGGTACTGGAGGCTTCTTGTAGTGTACAATGGACCAGTGGAAGCACATCGCTTCGTATAAAATATCTTCTTGCTTCAAGTTTAATACAATGGTTCTGGCTTTGTCTTCAACAACTAAATGGCATAAAGCTGGCAACATTAAGCGGAGAAGGTCAATCTGTCCCATCAGACTTACATCAGTTTCCATAGCTTCACCTTCAGACTTGTTCTTTTCAGCCATCTTCCTGGCTCTGTAAGCATGGAACGAATCATTTGCAAGAGAGAATATAAATGGCAGGAGGGTGTAGATTTGTTCTCTCATGGCTGTTGTTTCTTGTGCAATCCAAGCAACTAGTACTCTGACCATAGCACAAACATAAACCTTTTCAGCATCAGGTAGTTTGTCTCTGTTCTTGTCATTGAACACTTTGGTCAACATAGACACTATAGCGTTGAAAGCACCTTTCAGACCAGTGTAAACTGATTGCTTCTCTTTTTGTTCCAAATCCAGTTGGTCTGTAGCCATGTAGTTGATAGATAATTCTAACACAATAAAGCAAGCTGTTACCAATTCAGCATTGGCATATGCTTGTTTGAAACTCCTATCTTCAAGTTGCATTCTCACTTCTATGGCACAAAGTTGTTGTAGCAGCAGGAAGAACTTCTTTGGATTCTCTTCATCATTCAAGGTCCACTCAATTCCAAGAAGGTCAACAATGTTTGCGGCAAGTTTAAGAGCAGGATCTCTTTGGTTTTTACCAATCTTGCTGGTAAGAATATCATGCAGAGCTTTGTAGATACTTTGTGGCCATGTTTCATCTGCAGAGCCGGGTATGACAGTTGCTTTATTACAGCTGTACAAAAGTGCACTCAGGATAGTAGCTAATTCAAACTTCCTCTCTGACTGGTCAGTGGCAAAGTCTAGGGCTATTTTATTTACCAAAGCATGGAACGGCTTTGGGTCATCACCCCAAGCGGTAGGCCCATACCGGCTGACTAGCTTGACAAGGATATTAAGGGCCTCATCAGTCTGGAAACTTTGATGAGAGTATATTTCTGACATTTTAGTGATAGCACCAACCTCAATGAGAGCCTTCTGGCCAGCCTCTTGTTCAGCAATACACTGCAGGCATGTGTACGCTTCACTGACAATGATAAGGTCATCATCATAGTCTTCACTTTCTGATTTTTGCACTATTTCGAGGAACACAGGTATGTTGGCCAGCATTTCCGGGTGGGTTGCAAGATCAGGATCATTGCAGAAGGTGGTGAGTATGGAGAGGGCAACTGACTTGTACACAGATGGCGGGCAGTCATCCTGCACAGAGTTACTAGTCAGTAGTTTCTTCAAGAATTTGAATCCAATGGCTTCAAAGAGTGCCTTCTTAGCTTGCGTCTGGCAATCCTTGCTCTTCACAAGTTTGGTCACCATGAACAGCGCCGCGAACTTCTCTGTATCGCTTTTGGCGGCTTTTAATATTAGTATACATTTCTTTATCGGTTCCGATATATCACCCATTATTACGAAACACGCGACGCGATTACAAGGCGCAATAGTAAGCGCTCCACTGAGCGAGCGCAGGCTCCGCGGTTGAATCGCTCCGACAGCGGCTCGATCTACATCACGTTTATAATTAGCGTGAGTTCTCTTCCAAAATATCTAAATCTGGACGTCGAGCTCACGTTCTCCAACTATGAAACACTATTTTTACACACACGCTGGAACGTGAACGCTTAACACGCGGGGTGCAACAAGCAAATCAACGACGTAAAAACTATTGCGATAACCACGATGACAGCGCGCGCACTTCGTTCCGAACTAATCCATGACCGTGGCAATGTCACAATAATATTTATAGAAAAAACTTACCTTATTGCAGGCTCGAGTATCCCCTTTTCTTGTTTGTATTAATGTGTTGTCTAAATCAAAGAATATAGCTGCAACATCACTATTTTCTCCATAATACGAATTATTTGCCATTTTTGCGGACGAATGAGTGGTGTAACGCAAGGGAAAAAAACAGCTGCTTTGTGATGACGTCACAACGATAGCTAGCTAAGCTAACGTCAGAAGAGCAAAATGCGTTTTCTTGTTCAATAAATAATATTTTTATTCGCTTACTCCTATGACATTCAATGAAGAAATATATGTTCCATCTCTTTCTAGCCATTTGATAAGAAAATATGCTAGTTTAGCGCCATCTACTTTTATTCTCTCAAAAATTTTGCGGTAGAATCCGTGGTTGGTACGTGAGACCGCCATCTTAATGTTTCTACCTATTGTTACTAGATGGCATGAAACAAAAATTCTTCCGATTAAATTAATACAAGGAACAGTTTCAATCGATGATTTGATTTGATGATGATCAAAATATTAAAGTACCTATTTACACTATAGACTTGTATTTATTACTAACTAGGTTTTACCCGCGGCTTTGCCCGCGTATGCCTTTTTTTATTCCATGGGAGCATTTAATCGGGATAAAAATCCCATCACCTAAGTAAGCCTACATCCTGCCTGTATCAGTATACCAAATTTCATCAAAATCCGTTCAGTAGTTTCAGCGTGATTCATTCATACATAGAAACAAAGAAACTGTCACATTTATAATATTAGTGTGATGTGATTTATGCAGAAAGGTAAATAGACTATCTCACTTTAGAATACACATTTGTACTTTATAAATTAGTTTAAAAAGCCACTCAGACAGCGACAATACCCCACGCTCCCCCGTGAATGGAAGTGAACGATCATCGAGGGCTGGTGGTAGGTCTACCACCGCCCGCCTCACGCTCAGGGCACCGCGCCACATCTCATCAACGTGACTGGTGAGGACTCACTTAGTGTGAAAGTCTCGAGAAGAGCTTACTATAGAAATGATCCTATGAAGTAAGGTCTTGCCGTTACTGGCGAATCCGGCAAGGGTCATTCTTTCGCGGAGAATCTTAACACCGCGATGTACAAAAGTGACGTCACAGTACAGTGCCATCTAGTGAGCCGGTCTGTAACAAAATTATCAATGATCTATACTTGTAGATCTTGTAGATCATTGTTGACATTTAAATGGGTCATAGTAACTCTTTATGTAAAATATTACTGCACGGATTTAGATGTTATTGGGCATATAGATGGAGCAGGATTTAGATTGATAAAGGATCATTATAAATGAGCACTAAATAGTTTATTATTATTTACATTGTTTGAAAATTTTGAAATGTCATTGAAAGTACCAGAAGCTAAGAAAGTAGTTTTTCTAAATGAATTCCACAGGGGCGAAACAGAGGATGAAATTTTATAATGTTTATCTAATGACTGAAATGATATGACCAACACTAACAATAGAAACACTATAATATGAACTTTAAGATTTTAATTTACACTATTAATACTAACAGTACAAATGTAAAATTACCGGTGAGAAATAAATAGCCTTTTTATTTTATTTTATTATCTAACTAGCTTTTAGCGGCTTCGCTCGCGTCGCAAAAGGATAAAAAGTAGCCTATGTGACTATCCATCCGTTTAACTACCTTCAGTTAAAAAATTACGTTAATTAGTACCTCCGTTCTGCCGTTTAAGACAGGCAAACAAACAAATAACTTTTCGCTCGCGTGGAATTCGATTATATCGAGCTATTTACTTCTTATTTATTGTCTACTTACTGTCTTATTTATTGCTTTAAAATGGTGGTAAATGGCCAAAACTTGTGTATGTTGTAAAGTGAAAATTCATCATTATTATCGCTAAACTAATTAATTTAATTCAGTTAAAAGTCGTGCCGGAAACATAGCATAGCATGTATTTGCTTAACAACTTTTGTCGTAGCAAAACAATATTTTTTCAGCATCGCCAACACAGAATCGTTTACGGTTTTTGTCGTGTGTGCCATACTTGATACTGACATACAGTAAGTTGCGTATTAACCGTTACAACCACATATGAAAGTAATATGAGGAGGCCGGGATGAGTTACGATCAAGGGACATGTCATTCCATGAACGGAGAAATTCTTTTATCAACATTGTTTCGCCGGGATAATATGCTCAGACCCAAGCCCTTGTAATTTTATAAGTGTGCAGGTATATTTATGTGTTTACATTAAATTATGTACACGTTTTGTGTTTGTTGTTTATTAATTGGACATTTTTGATGGATTTAGCTGGGTTTACAGATTCTTTGAGTTCTTGATTGCGTTGCGTTTTCATGGACTTGATTCCATCAACGAATATGCAAACAGACATTCTTAGTTTCATTGTCGTTAGTATTTTTTGTATATTCTACTAACATACTGTCTAACTGCATTTCTTCTTTATCTTCACCTACTTACTAGCTTTTTAAAAGCAACCTCGTGAGTCTCTATAAATCTTTTCTTGTAAATTCCAGAGCTTTGATTTCAGGGCCTACCAACGTAGGCATCCTAATCTAAATAAAGGTGGGACAGGACCGAAACGTATACATAAACAAAATGTAGGCTCCAGGTTGTTGGTGGGTAGCATGACATGAATGTATTGACACAAGGCGAGGCGTATATCGAGCTGGAGTCCCGGTGCGCGGTGGCCGACACTCGCCTTGCTCTCATTTGTCTACACACAGACCGCACGTATTCCATAAACTACGTCCACCTATATACCATACATGTTTGTTTTACAGATATATGTATCTTTGAACTGGAAACTATTGTACTCGATTTGTTTTGTTTAAAAAAATACTACTAAGTTGCTTTTATTGACACCTAAAAAACTACGCGGTTTCTGAAGTAGTTTTTCACAGATGAAGTCAAACATTTGTCTAGTTCTATTTACTAATAAAGTACAAAAGGTCTGGCTCTAAAAATGGACAGTGGTACTTACATTTTCCTGTTGTGTAGGGCAGTCCTTCAACTATACATGAGTGCGGAACACAGAACTCCAGAAGGGGCAAGCAAATAGCGATTGTGTAAGAAAATTTATACTACGTGGAATTCGTTCAAGGGTTATTAGATTTCCTGTCACACGCAGGGCTCGCCGGCCGCGGGTCCTATTTGCCAAACATTGCCAAGAAGTCAATGCCAATTTCTTGCGTAAACATTTTGTTCGGTCATTATCGTTTCTTGTTGGATGTTTTGCACTGGTTTTAACAAATTATAGTCGAGTTTCAAACTTGGTGCCAATTTTGTTCAATTTGGAGATTGTAATTTGCTTGAAGGGTGGCTGCCAGATCTTATTGGCGTCATTTTAAGCTTATTTTCCAGACTCGTAATTCCCGCAAAAGGGGTTTGTCGTTACGTACGTAGGGGAACGGGTAAGTTTGTTTAATTTAAGTGTTTTTGTGTGTAGGCGTGCTGCCTCTTTAGTAGAACCTGCGCTAGGATATTAAGATCGTATTTATAAATTATATACTCAATTTATATTTACTTAAGTGAGTACGTACCTTACCTGTGTTTGATCGACCGATCGCCTATCTCACTTCAACACTAAATATAGTTCCTTTACTATTAGTTTGGGCCTATGTACTAAGCATAACATAGTTCTACCTGAGAATTTTCTTCGGCAGTAGGCATGTTTGAGTCCGCCATTGTGCTGTTATCAGCATTCAAGATGCTTAACTGAATAGTGCGCCCCCTCGCAGCAATTAACTAGCTATGCTCATTAGCAGCCCGTTTTCATTCGGCGGCCGTAATCCGCTCGGGCCAACTTTCTTTGGAACACCTCGATTTACTGTGTCACGTGGGAGGGCGGCGGGCGGTTCCCGTAATGTGCTGACACCGCTGAAACGTAGCTGCTATGATGTGATTCTTACTATTAACTGTTATGCGACCTCCTTCAGTGATACTCGTTTTTCTTTTTAATTTCTGATCATTAGGACATTTTTAAGGCAGTGCTTGCTTGGGCACGCACGACTATTCTTGTACCACAACTCGTTCTTGTCCACATGATAAATATCTAGCTGCCTACTTTACATAAACGTGTACCAGTACTCCCAAACACCATTTGCCCAATTGGCAAGCAGCGGCGCGATTCTGAAGCAAGTGGTTCGGCTCTAACCAAACATGGCTCGAATCTGCATTTAGCCGTCGCGTCGCATCAGTCTGTTATTGACAGCAAGCAGGTTCGTATACTCGGAGTACCCGGGTAACCAGTGATTTATACCGGGTAAACATCGCACACGTTATCACCGCCTTGCACCTGCCTTATCCGGCCTGCGAGGTGCAACCTACCGTTTCTAGTAAGCCGATTTGCGATTTTGATGCATGCGAAATGACGTTTTGGAAGGTAACTTTAAATTTCTTAGCAGTCTGTGGACTCTGTGGATACAGCCTTGCGATTTAAATCTAAAATGTAAATTAACTAAAAGCATTTTAGACCTACTTTCATTTGGAAACTAATGTTCCGAAGTGCTTTAGTTGCAACCTGTGATATATCATGGAATGTATCAGATATAAAGTGATATATTTCTGATATATCACTGTGACATACTGTGCATGGAAAGTATACTTTTCTCACCTCTCAGAAAGTAACGGTCTAAGAACTTAGCACGAGTGGTTAAGCATACCTGTAAGAACTCCGATGTTTAGTAACATACGTACTAGGTACTATTTGTCGCACCATGTATACAGGTTTTAAATAAACAATCCCTCTGCCTCTAACTTCCCTAGTCTGTGACACTGTGCAGCATTTTAACAACAAACTATAAACATAGCATTTAACGGCAGACCGAGTTTTGTTTCGAAACAGATTTCAACGCTCTCCGTCCATGTAATAAGTTATTACACACATATTACTTATAGGGAACTATTTGTGGGACGATTTGTCGACGCGGCGTGACGTCGGCTGACGTTACGAGTGTTCGTGGCATTTCATTAACTAACGGATTGTTGCCGCAAGCCGCCGATGTGCGGCCCTGTCCAATTTGTTCCCGAAGCACTATTGGCCAGCCGACCCGAATGCCTGATGATAATCATAAACGGCCCCTGCCAAATTGGTAATACGCGTTAGTGAATATCTAAGCAAGGGATAGCACCTAATGGCAATTTAGTTTAAGTTATTATACTGATAATAGTTATGCTCTGAAGCGGAATTTATTATTATTTATTTGTGTTTTAGTTTAGGTAGAGTTAGGTACCTTTTTTGTTGAATTTCGTAGTGAAAATGTGTGAGGTTGATATATCAAATCAACAAATAACTTCATTTGGTAAAAAAAATGTAGGTTCTAATACCTAGAATTGTGTTTCAAATGGAACACAACTGCACATTTTAGATAGGCTTTTCACGAGCGATTAAAAAATCGAGCCTCTGACAGCAATAGACACCGAATACGCCATTATTGAATTAACGTGACGCCACAAATAGAAGGATGTAGTGTAAAAGTGCGGTGCGAATAATGGCCAAAAATACGGCACGTTTGGACATTCCCAGCACAGCCAGCTGGTCATGCATTCTTAATGCTGTACGAGCGAATTCATAAGTATTTCGAGTAGTATGTCATGTTTCCACCATTTTGCTTCGGGTTAGGATGATTGTGTTATTCGTATCGATTTTATGGTTACATAGAATATCTAATTCTTAGACGATTCCTTTTGATATCAACTCTGAAAGGCTTCTCAAAAACCATGGTCCAAACACAGATTTTTGGCATACCCACACCTTATTTTTTGTAACAAAAACATTAGACACACAGTTTATGAATACTAACATCTATACTAGGCCGAGCCTGTACCTTAGATGTTATATAGATATATTAGATTTAACGCATTCAGTACACCACCTTATTTTTTCCGAGGTAACGATTATTTTTCTATATCAAAAAATTCTATTACATGCTGTATGCAAACAAGTATTATAACCGATTTAAAAGATTTAAAATTGTTATGAAGCATAATTACCATGGAGGCTTTATTAAATGTTATTGTTCAGTGCAGTGTTTTATTACTTCGGAACATGAAAGCGTTCGATGTTTATTAATTCATTCTGTTATTATGATAACATATTAATTTTTTGACATAGAGAACGGATTGAAATGATATTTGATAACGTCATCATCATTTTTTAAAGTTCCATATCCTAAGAGTAATAATGGAACCTCTGTATTTCTCTATGGGGGAAGGAGGGGTCTCTAAAACAGTCTGTATGTCATTAACTGTGATGTTCACAGTCAGTATCTATATTTTTTAAGACATATTCTTACTTACTCTACTTTGTGAGTTATCCGATATAGTTTCTAAAGGTAGTATGTCTTACACTTGCGTCAAGACTCGTCTCAGTGTATCTTAATCCAAAGTGACAAAGTTTAAAATGTTTCCTCGATGAATCTGTCTAACGATCAGCAGTTGCTCCAGGCATTAATAAATATCTACCTACATATATAATATCTTTGATTTAAATCATAAGACGTACGGGTTCTTATTAAAGTTAACGGTACAATGAGTTCGCTTACGAGCTCATAACTAAGACCTCTTAATCACCAAACTAGATAATTACTTTGAAATCTCGAGGTACTTCGAAATGTCTCAAATGAAATCAAGTATATTTACCACGTGGTAAATATACTCAATTTCTTAATCTCGTAGGCGTAAGCCCCTAGATAATTTTTGCAACTAACTTCAGTATGTAATTACTTATGTCCATTACTTTAGTAATCGGCTGATTAGTCATGTCTACGTATATTTAGAAATTTGATAAGTTAAGGTAACTACCTATACAGACAAACTCCTCAGCTTTACATACTACACATAGGTATGTATTTATCTGAACACGTGTTCTGAAACAGAATGTTTCATCTCTCTCTTTGATTTTGTTTTGTTTTGTTCTGATAGGCATCCTTCTAACTAGTTTGTCCAAAGATAGAAAGTAAAATCTACCTATTGCTACATAGCTAATCATCAAATATTACTTTATGTTAAAATATAGACTGCCTCGTTGGCTGAGTGGTCGCAAGTGCAATTGCCAGGCAAGGGTCTCAGGTTCGATTCTCGGGTCGAGCAAAGTACTACTGTTTTTAAAAAAATCTCAGTAGTAGCACGGAGCCTGGAATTGTGCTCAGTATATGGCAATAGACTCACCCCTGTTACCTAAATGTGATTCATAACATAAATTGTGAAAAGTGGGTGTTACATTGTACAGTGGCATTAAGTGCCGTAATGTGCACCTCTGCCTTCGGGAATAAAAGGCGCGATGTTATGTTATATGTTCAAATATTTTCTATTTGTCCATAATTAGATTTTAATAAATAGATTGAATGATTTAACGATGGATCTATTATGAAGATAGGCAAATACAGTGCTATCAAACAGAGATTATCGCAAATGTTCATATGAGCTAGGAGGTTCACTGCCGTTATGAGAAACATTAAATGAGTAGGTACCTACTTAAACTTTTCCTCAGTAACAGTAACAAAACTTTCGAAAACTATTGCTAAATATTGGGTTAAGTAACATAACATAACACAACATCACGCCTTTTATCCCCGAAGGGGTAGGCAGAGGTGCACATTATATCACTGTACAATGTAACACCCACTTTTCACCATTTATTTTATGAGTCCCAAGTAATAGGAGGTGAGCCTTTTGCCATATACCGGGCACAATTCCAGACTCCGTGCTACTACTGAGAATATTTAAAAACCCAGTAATACTTTGCCCGACCCGGGAATCGAACCCGAGACCCCTTGTCGCACTTGCGACCACTTGGCCAACGAGGCAGACAGTATTAGTCAGTATTATCAGTCGAGGCAGGCAATATTTTTAATCAAGTCATATTCCTATTCTTGTTTAACAGTTAGGTACTTATTACCCAGTTCAAATAAAAGTTCCCTTTTTTATTTATTAACTAATCTCAATATAAATTAATTGTCGAGACTAGTTTTTAACTTTAATAAATTGAACGTGCACATATGTGTACCCACGGTCTCAGGAGGCTATCATCTCAAAATTAAAATCCTATCGACAGCGGTTTCAATTTTCACCCCATAATCAAAATCCAAGGATCAATGTCCCAAACAACAGACTAGGTAGTTACGTATTTGCAGGATTCCCTTGCGGATGACACAATATTAATTAATGAGCGACGTGGGAGCAAATGATGTTGGCTGACATGCCGTCTGTCCATCATTATATGTAATAAGCCTGTCGGTAACCATAGACCGCAACACATGGTTATTAAATGTTTTTGAATGAACTGTGCTCAATTCATAAAGTTCCGTAATAATTATTTATTTAATATACTCCGGGAGATTTTCTTTTATATACCGAGTGCTCCTTGGTCATGTGGCTACAAATTCGACCATCGAGCAAGGGTCTCATGTTTGATTCCTGGGTCAAGCAACCTAAAAATTGAGCACTGGCCTTTTTGCGCCGTGTTCACTGTCTTTTTTTTTTAAATTTCGTGGTTTTTGTTATTTTGTAACGGTGCAAGTAGACTGGTTTTCTTTCTTTCTCTCATTCTTTTTTGGGTGTAGGTACATACCTATAGTCTAGACTCTGAAGATGGGCAGTAAGTAATAAGCCCCTTGGTTAAAAGCAACAAATAAATTGAAGTGTCTGTTTGTAATATTGAAATAACCGCTTTTTACTACATGCATTTGAATATACATACGATACCGTTTTGGAATCCTTTTTAAATTTTTGTCTGTCTGTTTGTACTGGCTAATCTTTAAAATGGCTGGACTGATTTTGACGGCAGGCAGCTAATGTAGGTACATTATCTACTACAGTAGGTACTAGGGAGTAACATAGGACATTTTTATTTTGGAAAATTGTAACAATAAAAATTTATGCCTTAAAACTCAAATTTTACGCGGATGAAGTCGCAGGCAATAGCTAGTATTGAATAAAATCGGGCACCCATATATTAGCCGAACTCTGTAAACATAATTTACCTATAACTTGAAGAAATAGTTTCAAAAAACTTCAAAAAACTATGACAAGGGCACCATAGAATTACGTGAATCGATACAGTTTGTATCAATGACCTTTGCATGCAACCACGTGCTTACGACTTTTACAAAAACAATGTCAATGCGTAAACTACCGTAATAGTTATATCGTGATTTTTATAGTCAACATAAAAGAGTGAAATCGAACCTTGGACATAGTGCTATGTCGTATATAAGACGGGAGATCTACTCGATATGTATCAATCCAGTTCTGGAAGTAGAATTGTGATCTTATCTCAGTTTTAAAACAAAAATACTTAAAAAATGTTCTTCAAGGTATTTACAAAAGTTTTGTGTATCTGTTCAGTACCTTACTAAATTAGTTGCTTTGTAAGATTGTGCTGGTGGATTGGATTTTCGAACAGAACCATTTGTTGTGTTGCGATGAAACATCAGTTTTATTATTGTTTGAAAGAGTTTCTCTCAATCTTGCACCATCTTCAAAGATGTGCCTGGGACGTGCAATTGGTGTCATTGAAGAGTGATTTTAGTGTTCAAATTATTTTTGCGTGGATTTTATATCCTGTCAATTTTTATAGAAGTGATGTACACTATTGATTTTGAACAATACTGTTCAGAATATTTTGATTTGAAATTTGTAACAACTAGACTTGTTGAAGTATCTTGGTATGTAACCAGATAAACGGTCTGATGTTCCGTTAGTTACATATTATTCTTTTGTCTTAATTGCCAGGTTGTCTGCGTATTATCTGTGGCTGTAGCCGTGGTCTCAGGCTATGCCCACTCCTCCCAGTACATCCACCGTCACGATGGTCACCACGAGCCCGTCTACCATGGATACGGAGGCGGCTATGGAGGCTACGGAGGCTACGGATATGGACACGACCACCATGATTACTACGTAAGGGTTTTCAACCTTCGTTTATTAATATAACTGAAATTGAGTAGTTTCCTCGGTCAAAAATAAATTATTTTGGTTTTTCAGACCGACGGCACGGTTGGTGCGGTGGCTGGGCAACCGGCTGCCGTGCAACGTGTCGCGGGATCGATTCCCGCACGGAACAACACTTTGTGTGATCCACAAATTGTTGTTTCGGGTCAGGGTGTCATGTGTATGTGAACTTGTATGTTTGTAAACGCACCCACGACACAGGAAATAATCGTAGTGTGGGGTAACGGTTTTTTAAATAAAAAAAAATTAAATATTGAAAAATAGGTACACTTTCATTCATTGATTTGCCGATATACTTAATTTTAGATAAATCGTGTGCTATTTGATGCGAAAATATGATGACGTCATAAGATGGTATTTCGTACATAGAACAGTATCGTATTTGACGTTTTAATAAAAGTATTGAATTTGACTAGTTGTCAACTACCGTATTGTTTTTACATGTTCTTCATAAACTTTTTATTTATTTAGCTGTACCATTATGAAATAATTTGAAAATGAACAAACTTCTTCGTTATTTTGTACAGTATAAAGTTAATTTTATTGATAATATTCTAAAAAACCTTTTCTGCAACGACACTTATGTTATTGTAGACTATCAATTGTTTGAATACTATAAATTATTTAAGAAAGAGCGTAAAGTGCGAACCTTTAATGAAGTGGCATACTAATTCTTAACTACTTTTTTCATCAGACTTACCCAAAATACGAGTTCGGGTATGAAGTAGAGGACCCCCACACTGGAGACTTCAAGTCGCAGCATGAGTACCGCGACGGTGACGTGGTGAAGGGACACTACTCCTTGCATCAACCTGATGGCTCCGTCAGACATGTTGACTACCATGGCGATGACCACAGCGGGTGAGTTCCATATAAGATGTAATTGAAGGATTAATTCGAAAAGACGTAATCATTAGCTTGTTATTCAGGCTGGACCCCATATTTCAATACCTAGATATATTATTCTCAAGTACATTGCGTTAAATACAAAATACGAATTTGAAAATAAAAGATCCAAAAATTCTACTCTTTGGAAGATGATACATTGAATCCAAGCAAAGGGGTGGTGCTCGACAGGTAATCGACTAGTGCAAATAAAGTATTCAGTTAAATTATTGTAATAGTTAAAGAACTTTGTCTTGGCTTTAGAGGGTGGTAATACCTTATTACTTATTTGTAAGACAAGGAGGTACTAAAATTCTACTTCTGTCTCAGTTTCCACGCGGATGTGAAGCACAGCACCCACCACATCGTGCCTCATCATTACCACTACTGAACCATTTTCCCAGTGATGAACAACTTCTAAAGAAAATTGAGGGCCTAGCATAGACTCTTGACCTTTTTTGACCACTTACAATTACAAACTTAGAAACTTCACATAAATCTGAACGAATAATTATGGAAATGTCAAAACTTGTGCTAGGCTCTTAATGTTTTCTTACTTATTTATTTGCCTAAATAACGTTTCTGTATTCTTTTCCTTATATTTAAGGAGATGGATTATACAAATGTTCCGCTGTAATACAAATGTACAAATATATTTATTTTTATATAAATATTTTAGTTTGTTTGATTTCATATTCAACTTACTTTTACTTCAGATGTTTTCTAATCCGTTAATGGTAATTTGCCTATCTTAACATGCGTGATGGACGTGTCTAATAATTTACTTTCATTTGATACGCTACTACGAATTGTATAGAACATATCATAACGTCAACGTCAATTTCTTATTTGGTTTTCGTATAAAGACCTTACAGCCAACACTTCCCTAACTAAAAAGTTATTATATTTTCTTGAACCAAAGTACAGGGCAGGGTGTCGCAAATAACACAGTCATTTATTCAGTATTCTAAATTAAAAAAAGCATTAAAACCCAAACCGTAGGTTTTTAAATCTTATTAGAACATTTTATAGCAAGAAACTAGTTTAATTTTACCCATTTTAAGGCAAATGGAGTTATACAGAGAGTCTGGCCGGGACTCGGCCAATAGTGCAAAATGTTAATATTATTCTTAAGCTAATGGAAAAATGTAATGAATTAGCAACACTCGACGGTTTTACAAGAAACTAGAGAAAAAGGAATAAAGGAAGGAAAATGTGACTTATTTCTTATTCTTTTGTTGACACCAATTTTATTTAGCTTGTGACTGTGGCTAAGGTCATACCAAATAGTATTAAAATATAGACTAACTACTTTTAAAACTAAACAATGCTAGTTCGAGGATAATTTAAAGGAAGACTGTACAACAATTCGTCAAGTTTATTATTAGCAAAGGATATTCATGACATCGAAGCATCTTATTAGTGTACACCACGAAGACATCATCATATTCTTATGATGTCATTGGTATTATAAACCAGAGACTTTTGAACAAGTCTTTAAGTATTTACGGCGGCCTCACAGAAAACCGACGTGAAGCAACGCTTACGTTGTGTTTCGTCGTGTGAGTGAGGTTACCGGAGGCCCAATTTTCCTCCCCTTCCCCAATCTCCCCATCCCTGAATCCCCAACGATCCTCAAACTCCTAATTCCCAAAAGGCCGGTAACGCACTTGTAACGCCTCTGGCGTTCCAGGTGTCCATGGGCGACGCCGATTGCTGGTGATCCGTCTGCTCGATTACCGGCTTATGCCATAAAAAAATACCTCGTCATTAAATTTTTCTGAAACACTATAAACGTACTATTTCTATTTAATCATTTTTTCTGTAAGTATAAGTGCATTTAAGTATTAAATAAAGTAAATAAATAAAATATACGTAAAATAAGCGTACTCTTACCGAACAACATATTTAGGTATTTCAGTTAAACGAAATGCTGTGCTCTATCATCGTATTTCGCACAAAAGGAATCCGTCAACCGGTTTTCTTGTGAAAATTTTACGGTTTATATTTTGTGAGTTCCTACTTACATACAGATTTAAGCAGGTATTAAACATTAATGTATATTTATATGTATTTGTATAAAATATCGTAGTAATACAGATAGCTTACTTTACGTAATCCTTAGCTTGTTTGTGCAAATTGAAATTAATATTAATTGTATGGATATCTGCGTGTCTTGGATCACTGTTTACATTGAATGTATTTTAACACGAATACAGCGGGTGTATATGAATATTCGTATTTCATTAAAACGATATGAATAACTATGTCGATAACGTTTGAGTTTATAAAATACTAGCTGTTACCCGCGACTTCGTCCGCGTGAAATAACGACTTCTGTATAAATTGGGTTTTTTAAATTAGTCTTTGTCAAGGTATATTCTACGGCTGTACAACTGGAACAAATATCATCACAATCGATTCAGTACCTAGGTTATATTTATTGAGAAATGAATTTATTTTGGTGGTTTCTAAAATAAACAATCCCATAGAGGTTTTACCCGTACAGTGCCCGTCTCGTGAGGTTTCACTATTCTATGTTTGCAAATCAATGTTGTATCGCATTTCAATCAAATAGATATAGTGATTTTAACGCACAGTTCCCGGTTTCGTGGGTTTTTCGGGTTAAAAACTTTTAGATGTCCTTTCCCGGGTCTCAAACTATCGCTGTACCGAATTTCACCAAATAGGTTCAATGGTTTAAAAGGTAAGAGCCCATCTTTATTTCAACGTCCTTGGTCCTGGTTTTTAGCGCATAGTTTCCGTCATTTTGGGATTTCCTCTCTCCTATAATGTGACCTGATATGTACCGGTGCGACGTGCGTTACTATCGCAAACATTTAAATGAAAAAATAGGTATTCTGATATTAGGTTAGTTACATATGATACATGTACTTTAATGTTGATATTAATGTCCTCTATAAGACTTAATACATCCCTTGGTTCTATTGTCCATAATTTCCACAGCGTAATCAATACCAATAATATAAGGAGTTTTTTTGGTAGTTTTTCACACATCGGGTAGTCATTACCTAAAGGAGATTTTTTTTGAGGTCGGAAAATCATCCAATCACTTCTCCCGCCTTGGGTTAGGTGAGAGGGAGTGACAGATTCTTACTGACTAAAATCCACTCCGTTCCTACTCCTGCTCGTCAAGCCGGAGCCCCGTCAACTCGTTAGGCCTCCCGCGGCACCGTATCGAGCTTCAGCCCTACTGGGCTCCATCTATGATGGTGTCATGGCTCTGTAAGGCGCGCGCCGTATGCACGGGACTGGTTCTGGTCGGCTGGCGAGCTACCCTTGCTCTTCGTCTACAGACCCGCACTTACGGTGGCCGGTGGCCGGCCGATCTCCGACGCCCAGAGTGTCTCCCGCGACGGCTGGGGCGTGAGGAAGTTCATTCCCTCACGCGCTCCGCTTTCTCCTTGGCAAGCATAACTACTTCGCAGAAGGATGCGACTGCATCCCAATCCCCCTCGCTCCATGGCCTGAACCAGAGCCAAACGCGAGAGGTCACCGTTTCCTACATCCCTGAGAACACGGCGGTGCTCAGCCCATGCAAGGTACACCGCCACGGTATGTTCCACCGTGTTCTCCGGGCGGTTCTTGCATTGATGGCCTCTTTAAAGCCACTTTTAAAGAGGGGACTTTCCGCTGCAGCGAGCCCAGCCCTCGGTTACCTAAAGGAGTGTTTCGCTGTGTAAGTGAGGTTACCGGAGGCCCAATTACCCCTCCCCCAGCCCCTCCAATCCCTGAAAATCCTCAAATTACTAATTCCCAAAAGACCGGTAACGCACTTCTAGCACTTCTGGTGTTACAGGTGTCCATGGGCGGCGCAGATTGCTTACCATCAGGTGATCCGTCTGCTCGTTTACGGGCTTATGCCATAAACAAACAGCAAACTATCATAGTGAATTTGGCCTTGACGGTCTAAAATGAAAAGGACTAATATTATTTTTTAGCTATGTGCATTTAGCTAGTTTTTTTGATATACATATAAAAAATACGAATTCAAGTAAACTGAAAATATTTTATTCGTGGTTTTATCTCCTTAGACTGCTGTCAACCTCTTTGCATACCTTAATATTAATACCATAGTATAAAAAAAATCTATGACACATTGACTTTGTAAACTCACTTGTCACACAAATGTCAGATGACTTAAGAAATGTATACTAATAATATAAATTTGTATGTGCTTGTTTGTTTGTTTGTCCGTATTTCAGGACAGAACGGAGTCAGGAAGGTTTTGATTTGAGATAGTTGAAAAAATGGAGAATATCATAGGCTACTTTTTGTCTTTTTCTAACCCCCTTCCACTTCCGTGAAACAGAGGTGAAAGTTTGTATGGGGTATTTTGCAATTTTCAATGTGGAAAGCTAACAATTGGTATGCGGATTATTTGTGACCAGCATAGAATCGTGCATCATTTCATTTTTTTATTGTAAATCCTTCCCTCACCCAATTAAAAGAACGCGAGAGAAGCCGCAGACAGAGGCTAGTCTATGAATAAATTGTATTCAGTCAATTGAATTCGTATTTTGTCTTTAAAATCCCTGATCCCTGATGCAGCTGAATACTAATATTATTCCTTGAAAACCCACAGAACTTCATTTTATATGTTGATGCCAAAATATATTATGAAAGTAGGACGCCATAACAATTACAAATCATTGTTACCTGTCAGATATCCGTTTTCAGGTTTTTAACATTTTTTTTTCATCCTTACAACCCTTTTTTCGCGATAAAAAGTAGCCTATGTTTTATCTCGAGGTCTAGAATATCTGTATACCAAGTTTCATTCAAATCCGTTCAGTAGTTTTGTCGTGAAAGAGTAGCAGACAGACAGACAGACAGAGTTACTTTCGCATTTATAATATTAGTTAGGATTAGGATGCACTCGTTTCTGTCAATCATTTTGCAATGCATTAAAATTGAGCAATCAATGTGTTTCAGGTTTAATTTATGCAAGTTTTTTCTATTCGATTATGTTTCGTATTTTTTCGTGTTATTTTTGTTCTTAATTACGTTTTGTTATGTGATGCTACAGAAGAACGGTAATCTGCATTAATGAGATTTTTTTAAATTAATTTTGAAATCATCAACAGATTTATTTTTTTAAACTGAATCTCGTGGCATTTGTGGTAGACCTCAACCGTTGACCTTATTTTGTTCTAGTTTTGTTTGATCAATAACCACTACATAGCATTACAGTGAAACATTATTAACTCTATTTACTTTAAACTATCAGAAATATATTCAATAATATATTCAGGATTCAATAACCTACTATATATTTTATCAAATTAATTAGCAGTATCAATACAATTTTTACACAAACAGACGATTATCCTTACCTCATATCCCCTAAAATCTCAA